CAACTATTTGTTTCTTTATAGTTTTTTTTTTTTGGCGATATTTTTAAATTTCTTTGGGCACGTTGTTAGTGTCCATCTTGGTATGGGCCTTCGTGTCCTTTAGAACAAGTATTTATACTTTGTTCTAATAAATATCAATCAATCAACTATTTTCATTCCTCGAAGAAACTGGAAATAAATCGTTTAAAAAAAGTTTTATGATACTATGTATAACCTTTACTTTATTTAACTTAAGTAAACTAATTGTAAGTAGACCATTCAAATATTCGAGCTTTTAAACTATTCGAATATCAAATAGAAAAGTCTTAAAATATTCGAGTAATCGAATACTCGAATAATTTATCAAAAGTATAAAGACATATTAACAAAAAGAAAAATAGTTATATTTTAATAAAAAAAAGCGTTTAGTTTTGAACTATTTTATTATTTAAAACATTTTTTTTTTTCTAAAAACATATATTTTAAAAATAAAATTGAATCAAATGTTTCATGATTTAAACTGGTTCGTCTTTTTGTTTTGATTGCACCTGCTGTTGAGAATACTCTTTCAGAAGCTGTTGAAGTAGGCCGTATTGTTATAAGAGCATTATAAAAAACGTCCAGCGTACCCGATCGTTTTTTGAAAAAATCAAACTGATGAAATGCTTTCTTTAGTTCATTATACTTATCAATTTGCCTGGTATTGCGAACATGACAGTTTTTTGGAGCTGTAATAGTACTTATTGCATTTTGGAGTTCTTTTTGGAGTTTTTTTTGCAGTTCTTTTTGGAGTTCTTTTTGCAGTCCAACTTGTGGTATTAATTTTATTAAATCATCTGCATCAGATGAAGATGAGGTAGAATCACTATTAATATGCTCTTCTATGAACATTTGGATCTCTTCTTTCATCCATCCTTTTTTGGATAGCATATATAAGTTTTTTTGCTATATCTGTTTGCATTGGTTGCAACTTTTCAAACAAAAATTTGTATACTCCTTCAGCTGTTATGAGATTTGCATAATTTTTACTCAATTCAGTAACAGCAGTTTCAACTGGTGCGAGAACGTCAATAAGGTTTTGTAGCGCACAAATATCATTTTCAGCAATTGGATCAAAATTCAATTCGAATAAGGATTTGTTAATACATTCTAATAGAATTAAAAAATGTCGAATCATTACACTCAAAGAACTCCATAGAGTTTTCATGTCTAATTTTAACTTGAGTTTTTTTCCCATTTTTTGAGCTATATTTTGTTGCAAAGTAGAATGCTTTGTAGCCGATTTTTTAAACATTCTTATAACACCTCTTAACCTGTTAATAATTTGGTCAAAATCAATATCCAATGCCATTACATTTTCATTTTCGTTAATAAACTCCAAATTGTATTCCGAGCACTGATCTTCTATGGAATCTTCTTCTTCCATTTCTTCATCAGCAAACTCTTCGGTATCGTCAAACACTTCATTAGGAATAACATTTTTTATATAAAAACAATCCATGACAGCTAAATGGAGCGCGTGATTATGGCAAAGTTGATTTAATACACCTAATATATTGCCATATTTTTTCATTATGGGTGCTGCGTCGTTAGTTGATACAATAACATCATTTTTTAAGAGAATCCCAAAGTCTGCAAGCTTCAACTAAATGTTTAATTGTTTCAGCATTTCCCTGCTTAATTATTTCCGTCAAACCCAAAACATGGCTTTCAATTGTATTTGAGTTTATTCCAAGTACATGAGCTGTTACGTTTACATAACGTAAAATAGTGCAATCTGTCCATTCATCCACTGTAATAGCAAATTACGCTTTGCTGTTTTTAATTTTTGAAATTTGTCCCGCACTTCAATAAATTTTTCTTTATAAAAGCTGTTGATGCATTTTGAAATAGTTGTCGAACTTTTTGGCATTTTATAATCTTTTTGTTGCACGTAACCAGCTATAGCTTGAGATTTACTAATTGCCGTGATCGCCATTCCATCAACAGCTGCGACTTTTGACAATATTTCATTTAAAGATTCTTTTTTTACAAATTGCCAAATAGTACTTTGTTTCAGTTTTTTGTTTTTTCTTAGGAATATTATTTTCTCCGTCAATTTCATTTGATACCGATTTAGATATCAATATCTTGTGTCGTAGCTTTAAATGGTTAATCATAGCAGTGGTTGAACTTTTCCATCCAATGTTCGTGTTGCACGTACCACATGTGGCTTCACCAAATTTTTTTCATCTTTCTTATAAAACTTCCATACCTCGGATTTTTTTGACATGGCTAAAAAAACCAAAGATGTAAATATGTAAGAAAATCTAACAAATTTTAATTTACCTGAAGTATTATTATTATTATTATTATAATTATTATTATTATTATTATTATTATTATTATTATTATTATTATTATTATTATTATTATTATTATTATTATTATTATTATTATTATTATTATAGAAGTATGCAAGCACAAATTGTATTATTAAAAATTATTGATTATATTGTTTTTATTATTTTAAATGAAATGAATTTTTACAATAAAATTTACGAATATTTGCTAAGCAATTTAAATAACCGACTGCTTTCTAATAACTAACAAAAATAATGTCGCACAAAATTAAAACCATACAAAAATGCAATTTTCCCACGTCAAGGCTATATTCTATATAAAAATTCTTAGATTTGTTTTTTATTTCAGGGTTTATTTGTTTTTTCTTGTAAGAAGAGAGAAATTAACCGTACTTTTTTCAAAGCTTATTGTGATTTACATTTTTGAAATTATTCGAATATTTGGAAAAAACATTCGAATATCAAATAGCCAAAAAACATGCAAATATATTCGAATATCAAGTATTCGAATAGTCAAGTTTGACGGTCTAATTGTAAGTAATTAATAAAATTAATATAAAAAGGTTAACTTTTAATATTCCTACACAAATATAAAAATTCTAATAGCGCAACATAAACATTAAAATTCAAATAGCGCTTTATAAAAAATTTTCTTTAACAGGTAAAAGGAACTCTGAATGCTAGGTGTTTTTTTATATTGTGGTTAAGATAAAATATAAGGGCAACCACTTAGTTTTTACTTTTAAGAGTTTACAAAAAACTCATGAATGCCAAAACGGTTAATTCTTTGTGGTACTACTTTTACTTGTTTTTAAATTTTGGTTAAAAATCATAAATTTCAGCATAACAGCATTAATTTCCATGCTGAGTGTATTTTTAATAAAATGCTTATTTTAAATAAATGCTTTAAGTTTATACAAATAACAGTGGCAGCCAAAATCACTATAGACTTTTAAGTACGTATCAAGTGTTTGACCATTATTTAAAAAGAGTTATATAAAACGGCCTGTTGTTGTCCTATCTGATGGTCATTCTTCAAGATTTGACTGCGATGTATTGACATTTCTAAGAAGCAAAAATATCTGACTTTTCATCACTCCTCCTAATTCAACTAGTCTTACCCAGCTCTTTGATCAAGTCAATAAGAAATTGCAGTCGGAGTACAGAAGTGCTAAATCTGCACTTTATTTTTCGTTTATGATAATCAACAGGAAAGTTTTCATGAAAAAACTTCCAGAACTATGGCCAGAGTAGACATTAAAACAAACAATTATAAATGTAGGTAAAACGTTGGGATTTCAAATGAAAGACTTAGTGTTGAGTGGATAAAGGAAGATAAGTTTTTCCAAACCGAATTGTGTATTTATAAAAATATTGAAAATATTCAATAATGTTGAGTTTAAAATTTGTTTTTAAAAACTGCATTGAGATTTAATTTAAACATAAAGTGTTCTTTTGTTTTGAATTTGGTTTTAGTTAAAATTAAACAAACAAAATTTGCTAGGAGATAGTAAAAATGCGGTTTTGAAACAGATTCAAAACCAATTATGAATAAACCATTTAATGAAAGAGAAACCAAAGAATTTAAATTTAAATTTGAAGAACGTTGAATACTCTTTTTTATCTCCGATTTCTTTTAGAAAACAATCATTCTGTTTTTGTTGATTTTGGATTATAGTTTATTTATCTTATTTTTATACTTTTTGTTCATTATATATCATTTTATTGTTTGTTAGTGTTACATTTTGTTTTCATTTCTTAAAAGAAATCCATAAATTTTATTATATAGTTTTTTGAATTGCCACAAAATGCGAGGTAATTTGAAATGCGATTTTAAGAATATTTGATTTATTCTGTGTACGCATCTTTTTAGCACTGTTTTTAGAGTCTTGAAGCAACGTTTCAGATAAAATTTTGCAAACTTATTTTCCGAAGGCTCAACAAATTTAAAATTGTTTAAAAATATTTTTTTAATGGCTAGTAAACTTTTTTCAACATCTTTTTAAATTAGAATGTTTTCTAAGCATAGTGTCTAATTTTTTTTTCTTTATCACTTAACATTATATTCTTTATTCAGATCATTCATGGCTTTCAGCATTTAATAAAAAAAATTTGAGTTTTGTGTTGCTTAACATAAAAGCTGACGTTCTGAGTTCTCACTGCATTTTGAGGTCTCTTTACCTCTAGTAGAGAGTACAAATTTTAAAAAGAGAGTAAAGATCTCATACGCATTTTTTGCTCCGCGGTAAAAATTTCATACGAGATTTTTAATGGGGGTAAAATCTTATACTGCACCGGCTCTAGCCCAATAATTGACATTCTTAAGGAAGGAGGCTTTAACTTCCTAGTTATATGCTCCTTTGAGCACCAAGTAAATAAAAATCAAAGTAAAATAAAACCCAAATAAAAAAAAATAAAAATAAAAAGTTATTTCTAGATATAAAAGACTTTTTATAAAAATTGACGAATGTGCCCTCCACTTTGTAACCCGTATCATCATCATTGTTTATTTACCCTCGTTATTCAAATTATAATATATAATAAAAATAAATCATTCGAAAAAAAATAATAAGCTTTCAATGCAATGTACTCTTTAACTCTAGGAATGATATATATTTAACTATGTAACTATTTCAATATCATTGAACCCCAGTTACAATACTCTATAACCTAACCTTACGGAACAAACAATGCATCGGAAGGACAAATATAAACAAACAACCTAATCCACCGCCATGAGGGACGTTAGCGATTTATGTTGTATATGTTATTAGTTTTGAAAAAAATTGTACAAGTTATTAGCTGACTAAAATGTCATCTTACAAAAATAGGTAATAGTTATTATACTTAGAATGACTTTAATGTTCATCAATTACTTCAGAAAATAATTCAAATAAGATAAAGCGTAAAACGTATCAAAGAAGTAAATGATTTATTAATTATAGTTTTTAATGCATCCACTTTATCCACATAATATTTAGCGGATATTTAATTATAGTATAAAATAAAACATAAATATAATATAAATATATAAATTATATCTTTTAAAATTTCTATTTTAAATGACGTTCTCTTAATATCATTTAAAGTTTATATCTTAAATGCATTTGCTATATTTCTTGTAAAATTTATCATTTTATTGCCAGGTGCATTAAAACTGTGAGTTCTAAGAGTGAATAAAATAAAAATATAAACTTTAAATGATATTAAGTTTTTTATTTTACAAAACTGCTTGAAAACTTCATATATGTAGGTCTTTTTATAAATTATCAAATGAATAAGTAAATTATCAATTATTATTATTTTATGTCTCTTATGTTATTATTTTTTTATGTCTCAATATGTTGTCTAAGTTATCAGACGGTGGAAAACTTTTATGTTATGCTTTTCAAAAGCAAAGTTATTATTTGTACGTGCGTACAAATAAGATTTACATAATAGAAATCATATTTGTATTCAAAAAAATGTTTATGTACTTTAATTTTTTGCACCAACATTATATCGATGTAATGTAATAGGTGGTATAATCTTCTTCTTTTCAGGCGCAACTGTCAGGGTTAGGGGTTAAAATCTTTGTTTCTCCGAATTTTTTATTTTAATTTTTTATTTCTAAGTAGTTTTATGTATTATATATATATAAACTATTATTGTTGTTTATTTATACTTAAGTTTATTATTCATTTTTGTCTTTCAAAGTTTTATAGAATAAGTGCATCAATGCATAAATAAATTGACTGATTTAGATGTAGTCACATGGAGTATACTGACTCAAATAGGGATAGGCACTGTGGAGTGTACATACATCGATAGACTGAAATAGGCATAGGCACAATAGCGTGTGCATGTATCGACTGACTTAAATAAGGATAGGTGCAGTGGAGTGTACATACATCTACTAAAGGTTTAGGTTTGGACAGGCATTCTTTAAAACAAAAAAAGTGTTTTAATATTTATTTAAATTAAGTTTATAAATTTAATTTAATTTGTATAAAAAAATTATTAGGTTAAATTAAACAAGAATTTTAAGTGAATTTGTCAAAATAATTAATAAAAACTTATGTCTGAATAGGTGCATACAAATAAGAAAAGAATTAGTTGTATATGCGTACAAATAATTACTACCATTCAAAAAAAATTCTAAAGTTATATTAGGCTTCATATTTAACAGGTTTGATCAAAATCAAATTGTAACTCATTATTTGATAATTATAATTTAATTAATTATTATTGTTATTTTTTTTTTTAAATATTGCTATTAGACTAAATTAATAGCTTACTAAACAATCCTGTTGTTGATAGATTACATACACTTTAAAATTGTAATTTTAATTTTATTATAATCTAATTTATAGTTAAAACTTTCTATATCCATATGTTATTGATTTATTTGTTTGCTTTTTTGTCCATGATACCTCACATTATATATGTTATATATATGTGTGTGTGTGTATAAATATGTTTTTAATATATATTTAATCTATCATTTACAAATATTTGCGATCTTTAAAGTAACTTTCTATTAGGTGAAAATTCTAGCAAAATTTATTAGACTACCTCTAGCAAAATTTATTAGACTTACTTGCTTTTTGTGAGATTAAATAGAATTTAACTTTTTCTTTGTCTTTATCTTTAACATTCTCCTTTTTCTCAAGACTGCACTTTTTTAATTTCTGGTCAGAATTGATAAATTCTTTTCTCTTTTTTGCTCTGTCAATATTATTGTTATTAGTGACTTTTCAATATTTATTACACTGAATGACTATTTTCTAACACCACTGACACTTCTGGTACTTAAGCTAATAACCTCTGTATTTCTCAATCTCTTACTCAGATAGTTAACTTTATGACTCGTTTTCTTGGTTATCCTAATCTTTACCTTCACTCATTGATTTGTGTCTTGTCTCTGACTTGAGCTTTTATTCAGTTTCTTCTTGTTCTCCTTTAGGTGGATCCAACTATGCAATGATCTCTATAAATCTTTCATTTCTTATTTCTTCTTCGGACTCTCTTATTATCACACTTCATTCTATTACCATAAAACTGACTGAGATTCTTTTTGTGATTATCTTCCTGACAGTCCTTGGGCTGATGGCTTTTGCCTCTGGGCAAGTATGAAAGCTTTTATTCTTGTAGGTTTCATCTTTTTTCGCAAAAACAGCTTTTTGAAGGCAAACATCTTTTTATTATCGCCAGAAATCAATGTAAAAAGGTACCGTCTAATACTAGCCTCCTTTATCATCAGTTTACTTAAAATGCACCTTGTTTCAGAGATTAGGTTGTTAATGACAGTGTTGAAGACTTTTGGAAAGTCTTCAACACTGTCATTAATAAAGGTAAAATAAACATACCATTTCTAAATCATAAGTGTGATTTTATTACCTTTCCTAAGAATAAAGCAGAATTATTTGCAAAGAACTTTTCCTTTATTTTGACTCTCAAATCTAATGGCCATACTCTTCAGTCAAACAGGTTAACCTGTTGCTAGACATCCAAGTCATTCTCTGGCTTCCATTGCTAAGTCATTTCTCAATTAAACTATTTTACAACTTGTAATCCAGACAACATTTCTGTCTAAAAAAAAATTAAAAAAATTTCTAGTATATCATCTTGAGCCTAATAACTTACTCTTTCAATACAGATTAAGATCTTCTTGAGATCCATATTAAAATCTTGAAGGGCAACCCTCTGCTTTATTTCCATAACTTCTGGGGTACTGCAAAGTATTCTTATTGTATTCTTATTGTATTCTTACTGTATTGTTTTTTATCTATATTAATAACTGTATTTGTTGACAACTCAACTTTTCTTGACAAAAAGTCTTCTTTTTTCTGATCCCTCTTCTGTAACAGCTTGGGGCTTGCAGTAACTTGTGAATTTTAACTCCAACTAAACTCAGTTGTTTATTGCATAACAACTATTGCAATGTTGTTGACATTTCTAGATAGATCAATGGCAACCCCCTCACTGAGTTTGATCTCTTTCTGTTCTGCATATACTATCATGTTTGCTGTTCAAACGAGTTATCATCTCTATTTTTATCAACCAAAACTCATTCTTACAGCTTTTCAAGTTTTTTCCCAACTGTTTCTTTGCTCTTTTACACTGTTGTTTTCTTGTAACTCCTAACTCAATAGTGGTTGCTTGTAGCAGGGAGTCAATTAGTTCGAAGAAAAAAAGGTGTAAAAAGTTTGCATACAAATGAGTCTAAATCAAATTGTTTATAATAATACAAAGTTTTCTATTTTCTTCTAATATAACAAACTTAATTCTAATGTAACAAATTTAAAATTTAAAATATTACATTGTTTACACATTTGTATTTATAATATATCATCTATTAATATTATTAATAATTTTGAATTAGTTTACTAAGTTAAATTTTATCAAATTTAGAATAAGTCAGTTCAATGAAATGCTTGCTGATCCCATTATTGATTTGTTAAAGTTCAAAACACTCTGTTTTGAAGGTTAGAATTGTTATTTACTGGAGCATATTAAGATCAAGTTTTTTTTTTTTACTTTGTTCTGATTTTAGAATAACTTTTTTTTTTTTTGCAGGAATTCCTGATCATCCCTCATTAAGATCTTTATCATGGAAAGTAAGTTTAATATCTATTTTGTAGTTCAAATTTTATAGATTTTATATTTCTAATAAATTATTTGAGAGTTGATCAAAAGATGGTTACAAAACGGAGGGATTTTTAATATTTTTATTATTAATTTTTTAAATTTTCATCATATTTTTCTACAATATTTGAAAAGCTTTATTATGAGGAAAGTTAAGTTTTACTGGATTTTTTATATTTTTAAAATTTTGATATCAGAGTTGTTACTAATCTGAATGTTGATTTAAGTAGATTGTTGTTTTTTTTGTAATCCTCCAGTAAGTTGTTTTGTTTGTAATTCTCTAGTAAGTAGATTGTTTTTTATTCGTAATCTTCTAGGTGTTATCAATTCAAATCAAAATCAACTACAGGCCTTGTTTTAAATAAAAAATGCTGAACCCATTAACCTAATATGAATTTGACGTCATTAAATTCTCATTATTTTTTTATTTTTTAAAGACATTAACTTTTTTAAATTATTAAAATAATATTAATTACCACAAAACAAATACTATTAGGGAATGCTTATTTTCTTTCAATTTTTTTAATATTAAATAATTGAGTTTATTATTACATTTTTAAAAATATTTTATATAAACAAATTTCTTTCTTTTCTCAACATTTGTATAAATAAATTAAAATATGTTACATTTTTTAAAATTATTGTTTCTTGAATTTCTAATTGTGACTTTGCAACTAAAAATAACCATATAATATTAAAAAATAATCATAGCACTCTAACTTGTGCTATAAAAAAAAGTTTAATGTATGTTTTGTGCAAATTTTTATGCAGCCTTAAACGTTAACAAGGAATTTAATTTTTAGTAAATAAAGGAAAACTGAAAAAATAGTTGTGATATAAATGAGCTTTTTTTTAAGATTGAATAAAAGTTAAATATTTAGTAATATTTTAAAATAAACTTGACAATTAAGTTCAACACAATTATTAACTTTAATTTGAATGTCTATTAATTTCTATAGAAATTGTTTTAAAACTTTTTTTTCTGTAGAAAAAAAAGTTCTATAGAAATTTCTATAGAAATTAGCAGAGATTCTACAGAAATTCTATAGAATTTCTATAAGCTATATGTTTCAAAAGTTTATAGAAATTCCATAGAACTTTTTTTCCTGTGTTGATAACTACGTATATAAAAAAAAAAAATTGTTGTTAACTATAAACAATTTTGTTCTTTGTTACTAAATATTTTGATAAATATAATAAAGCTTAATAGAGATTTTCTCAGTTTTTAATTTTATCATTTTTTTCATTAGTAAATAGCGCTTATATCTAACATAATTGTCATTCAAACTTTTTAACAAATTTTTTTAGATAATCGTCATTCAAATGTTACAGTGGTTAATTATAAAATTTATTACTTCTTTTATCTTACCGCTTATCGAGCAATTTAAAAGTTAAATAATGATAAAAAGTTGCTTAATGGAAATTACACTTTAGGCCTATGTAAAAGAGCGTACATAAATTGCTGGCAGCATAACACTTTAAAACAAGGCCTGAACTATGAAAAGTAAAACTATGAATGTTAATAGACAGAATACAATTTTTAACTGTGTGACATAGAATCAGAAGTTGCACACAATTAATAGCAAATACACTAAAAAAAATTTATATATTATCTTTTTTTTTTTTTAATCATTGGCATTAAACCATTGGCAGGCTTTCCACAGGAAAATGTGCAATTGCACAACATTATATGACCAGGCAAATAATATTTTGCTTTAATAATTTGATCACAGCTATTTTATTTTAAAAATGTGCTGAATGAAAAAGGTTATAAATTATATCTTTGAGAAATAATTGACATCAAAACTTTTATCTTTACTAATGTTTTTAAATTAGCGAAACGCATTTAAATAAAGTAACAAATTAATGATAAAGATTTTTCTTTAAAGTATCGTTGAAAGTTATATAATTTTTTTAACTTTATTATATAAATATGCATTTTTTACAATAAACATTATTAAAAGATAAAATATTATTTTGTTTTTGTAAACAATTACTTTCTTAGGCAAGTCTAAGAAAAGTCTCTTTAATGAACTTTATAAAAAATCATTAAAGTTAATGCACTTAAAAAGATAAAAAAAATTAAGTTAAATAAAAAAATGTTTTTGAAAGCCGTTACAACTAAATAAGCTTGATCTTTAATGCTTTTATTTTATTGAAACACTTTTTAATGAAGTATCAAAACAATGCTTATAATTTTTTATATAAAGTATTAATAAATATTTTATATAGTTCTTTTTATTTATATAATAATGTATTTTTTATGGTATATGTTAATTTTTTAAAACAAATTTAAAAAAAAAAAGTATAAATGTTTAAACAAAGTATGTTATGGTTTTTAACGTGTAGTTGTTTACTACCATGTATTTACATGGAAACTGGTTTTCCATAATATTATATAAACATTAGTAAAGATAAAAGATTTGATATTTATATTTTAAACGTAATTAAAAACATGATTGGAATAAACCTAATATTTTAGTTGACTTTTATATAAGTTGAGATTTTTGTTTTTTGTGTTCGTATTTAGTTAAGTTTTTATTTATTTTTTCTTTACTTATGATTTCTACTCTTTTTTAAAATTTAGTTAAGTCTAGGTAAGTTTTTCAACACATTTTTAAATTTTAAAAATATGTTAAATGCCATGGTCAAATTGTCAAAACAAAATTTTATTTGCATGGCCATATAATGGCATGCAATTGTCTTCTTTCCTGTGAATGGCATGCAGTTGCCTTCCTTCTTGTGATTGATATTAAAAAAAAATTACCATGAATAAAAAAGAAGGAAAAGTCATAATTTTTATGAATGAATGTTGTAAACTGGTAATATGATTTGAAAGAAAACTTGCAATTTTCATTAATGATTAATTTAACAAAATGATTATTGAATTAGTTATTTTAGAGAATCTTATAGTCAACCATATTTAAAGCTTTTGGGAGATCAATGTACAAGCAAAAGAATGATTGTCAATTGCTTCACAATAATAGTTTCAGTAATGCTTATAATATCATATATGAAATTATTATTTCATTAATGGAAGTGGTGTGATTTAAGCGAAATCCAAACTGGTGGTCTTATAAAAACTGAGAGCTGTTAAGAAATTGGTACATATGGGAATACATAAATTTTTAAAAAATTTTGCTGATATTTGATAATAGTGATATGGTCTGCAGTTATTGCAGTCAAGTTTATAGATTGATAACATAGACAGCATTTTTAAAATATTAGTGAATAAACTTGTAATAAAAGAGAGATTAAATATATAAAAATGTTCTGGGGAAATATCATTAGAAAGAAGTTTAAGAATAAAGGTTGGAATGCTGTTAACGCTAGAAGTCATTGTTTAGAGAAAGTTTAAGATATTAAAAAAAAAAAGAAGTACTATTGTACTTTATTTTTATCATTGGGTTAAATGAATATTGAATTAAGGTTTGCTGTTTTTAAATATTTATGGAAGTCTGTATGAGATGAAAAAATTCTTTATTGCAAGTTCTTTATATAAAAAATCAGTTAAAAGATATTTTCATTGTATTGTGAACTAAAGAGTTGTCTAAAAATATGCAAGAATGATATGAGATTTCTTCAAAATGGATATTCAAAAGATTTCTAATTTCATTCCATGTAACCCTCAAACTGTTAGCATTATTAAAAAAACAGTTGGAAAAAATGGTTTATGGCAAAAAAATTGGAAAAAATTAGATTTATGGCATTTGGAAAAAATGGTTCTTTAATTAGATTTATGTTAATGCTGAATTTGTAATATATCAGAGATAAGTGTCAAATTAAAGATAAAAGTTAATTCATCAAAGTTTAATTTATTTTATTTCATCAAAATATTAAACTAAAACTAGTGTTAAACTAGTGATTGCTCCACTAGTTTGAATGTTTGAATAAAAAAGAGAAAAATAACTTTTACAGCAAAGAATTAAAAAATTTTATGTCTATATACTCACAATTGATTGAGAACTATACTTGTATCATCATCATTGTTGTTATTTAACTGTTAAGTAGGAAAGTTATTTAGCTGATTCAAAATATAAAAATTTTGATAACTAAAAAAGAGTGAAAGATCATTTGGAAGTTTATTAAGATATTTTGGAGTTCATTTGGAAGTTCATTAAGTTAACTACGATTCTGTCAACTGTTTGCAAACACAGTTCATTATCAGGTAAATTTCTGTTTGCAGACAGTTTATTAGAACTGTTTGTAGACAGTTCATTATTAGATAATCAACTATAGCATGTTTAGATAAAAAAAAGTTTACAAGTATTTCCTACCTGTATAGCATATGGTGTTTTCAGAAAAAGAAGAAAAAAACAAAGATTGCTGACTCATGCCAAACCCTTTATCAATATAACAGCACTCTTTTACAGCACCAGGCTATAAGATAGTCTATGTATGTGCTGAAGCTCCCCGTAGCAGGCTATTATAGTGTGAAATCAGAGATGTTATATCAACACTCATTTATAGTTGTATATATATATATATATATACATACATACATACATACATACATACATACATACATACATACATACATACATACATACATACATACATACATACACACATATGTATGCATGCATACATACATACATACATACATGCATACATACATACATACATACATACATACATACATACATACATACATACATACATACATACATACATACATACATACATACATACATGCATACATACATACATACATACATACATACATGCATACATATAATTAATGTATATATATATATAATATTTGGTGTTAAAATTTTAAAAAAAGGTTGTTGATAAAACAACTTCCTTTTTTGTTGTTAAATTATCAATTGTAATGATAATTAATGGTTTAATTTGAGTCATAATTTTTTGTTAGATATTGCTAGAATATTTGCCCCTTAAAAAAAGCGATAGAATAATAGAGTTATCAAGACACAGGTTTGTAATATTTTTTGCATTAGATTTTATAGTTTTTATTGAATCTATTCATTTTGGCAAATCCTTGTAAAATAACCTTTAAATCTAGGCTAGTTTACAAAAACTATGTAAAAGAAATAGTTGCTCATCCTGACCACTCAAACAAAGAAAATAATGTATCAGACCATGTGAGCTTTTTTATTTGGTAAATTTTATTAATGAAAAGGGAATAGTCTCACTTAAGCTAGTTTTTAATTCATAATGCTTAGGAATACCCTGTATAATTTATTAAAGCACATTAGCACATTTATATTAGTTTTGCATTAAATATAAAGTTTTGTTTTCTTTTACATCAAGCCCCTCAATATGTGCCAGGGAAGTCAATGGAAAACCTATTTTAAAGATAATGAAGTTTTGTTGCAAATTGATAAAGATGTGAGGTAAGACTTTAGACCACAAAAATACCATAAAAATTTTTCTCAGTTTAGAAAGTATTTTATGAAATATTCCATGTATGAGAATAATAAAAAATGTTTCATATGCATCAAGCATTTTTGAGATAAACACTCTCTTGTCTAGGCTTTTTTTCATATATCATTTTCTAAACATTTTTTTTCTTGTTTTTGTTTTTTTCATTTTATCTAAAATTTTAAATAAAAAAAGCAATACTCTTCTTATATTGTCTTTATAGTGAATATTTAATCAATAAAGTATAGTCACATTGTATTTAAAGATGTGAAGTAATACCCACACTTTAAATTTCACAAAATCAGTTCTTTATTTTTTCTTTTAAAAAATGTTTTTTAGAGTAATCTTTTAATCTGCATATGATCAATTGTCATATATATATATATATATATATATATATATATATATATATATATATATATATATATATATATATATATATATATATATATATATATATATATATATATATATATATATATATATATATATATATATATATGATAAATAATATTATTTATTAGTTTAATTTGTAAATATTTTTAGACGATTGTGTCCTGACATATCATTTTTTCAACAAGAAACCTCTTATTCTATTTATACTTTGATAGGTAAGTTATTCAATTTTTTTAGTATTTTGTTGATAAGTTTATATTTTTCAGTATTGCTTTTTGTTTAATTTTATTATATTTAATCTAAAATTTAAAAAATTCATATTAATTTCATGTTACAAAAGTAGTTTAAAATTAAAAGTAGTTTAAAATAAAAAGTAGTTTAAAATTAAAAGTAGTTTAAAATATTGTTATACAGCATATTTTTATTTAATTTATTTTATATTATTAATTATTATTATTATTATTATTATTGTTAACCCAACACCGCATATTGTATATTCAAAGAAACAAACAGAATTTGATTTTTTAGTGTAAATTTAAATAAATGCGCATATGTTTAGTTTTTCTAAGTAAATATACAAATAAAACCGGGGATTTAAAGCACACAAATGCTTTTTTGTTCATGAGATCTGCAATCTGATAAATTAATGGAAAATCTAAAAAATCTGGAAAAAAATCTATGCGGTGTCAGGTTAACATAATCTATACTTATTTATATTAAATTTATTGTTTGTTTTTAATTATAAGATGAGATTGGACCTTGTGAAACATTGACAAAAAGAGTAGATCAAGCAATCTTAGAAACCTCAGTAATTGGAACTACAAAGGGTGGTCTTAGAAATGTAACGCATCTTTTTTTTTTTTGTACATCAAATAAAATCATCATAGTTGTTTTTGTATACAAGAACAACTAAGTAAGGCATCTTATTATTCATCTTAAGTAAAAATATATATCATAGTTTCTTGTGTAAACTTACAAAAAAGACTAAATAAATGACTATATAAGAGTATCATAAAATAAATACCATCTATTTACTCATTTTGTGTTGTATAACCTTTTTTACAGGCAATCATTAAAAAATACAGAGAGGAAGATTACACAACATTAGAAGATGGTAAAGAAGCACATTGGCAGGTGAAAGTTTTTATAATGTTTCTTTACATTATAGTTATCTTTAAAATAAGAACAATGCTGACAGCTTTAGCAACACCACCTTAGCGACACCACCATGGCAAGTGTGAAAATGTAATTTAAAAGGAGTAAAATTAAAAAATGTAGTTGAATAGGTGTTAATGACAAATTTGAATTCAAATAAAATTAGCTTCACTTTAGTTATGTGTTTATATTTTTGTTAAACCTTTTTTTAAGCTGTTTAATGTGAGATATCTTTAATTTAAAACCAAAACCCTTTAAACCTTCTGGTAATATCAATTTTAGCCTGTTTCTTTTTATAAAGTTAAGAGAGTGACATGTTGAAAAAAGCTTGAATAAATATTTTGATGTTTTTTAACACTTTTATTGTTACTTTAGGTTGTTGAACGTATTTTATTTATTTATGCTAAACTTAACCCTGGTTTGGCATATGTTCAGGTATTTTAATTTTAAAATAAAAAGTAAACGAACTATATTTAAAAAAAAATTAAATTTTTCTTTGATCAAATGATAGGGTATGAATGAAATAATTGGTCCACTTTACTACACATTTGCTTCAGATCCAGATTTAAACTGGCAAGGTTAGTAATAAAATGTGTTTTAAAATTTTTTAATAAATGTCAATGCATTTTTAATTAAAACAGTTTTATATTTTTAAATCAAACAACACTGAACATTCACCATTTTGACCAAACAACAATGAGCATTCACCATTTTTGACAAGAAATTTAAATCTTATGAACTATCATATTTATGACATCCAAATCACTAAGTCCAAAGACACAATCCGAAGATCAAGAGTAATAAATCAAATGATTTATCTTTTGATTTATTACTCTGTTATTTTTATTATTATTTTCTTTTTCGATTTTACTGAGGGTTACTCTCTTTTTAAGGTATGCTATTGGAAAAATCTGCCCAACTTTTGCGGTGTGGTAAAGCTAGTAAACGGTCGTTTTTTGAAAGTATTTTTTTGTGTGTTTGTATAATAGAACATTTTGGCAGAAAAAAATAATTAAAAATATTATTTAGTTTCAAAATGTCAACCGAGCAAACTAAACAAAGATTTTTGATTGTGAACAAACACCTAAAAAATCCAACTTTATCGAATAGAAAGTTAGTGAAATCATTAAAAATATCAAGAAAAACTGTAGATACTGTTTTTAAACGGTTTACAGAACAGAAAACTATTCAGAGAAAACAAGGAAGTGTTTTAAAAAAACGCACAGCAAATCCTAGAGCTCTCGAACGGTTGGAGACTTCATTGGAAGAACATCCTGATTGGTCTGATAGATTTCGAGCGAAAAAACTAAAGGTTTTCAATTTTTTTTTGTACACAAATGGCGACAGAGACTTGGATATCAAAGTTTTAAAGTAGTTAAAATGCCAAATTGCAACAATAAACAAAATTCAACCGCAAAGAGTCAAGCTTGAAAGTTGTATGACAACTTGTTAACAAAACATAATGGATGCATTTTGATGGATGACGAAACTTATGTTAAAATGGATTTTAAACAAATTCCTGGGCAGTGCTACTGTGCTTCTAAAATAAGAGGAAATGTGAGTGATGAATACAAGTATGTAATGACTGATAAATTTTCGAAAAAATTGATGATTTGGCCGACACTTTGCTCTTGCGGTAAAAAATCGCCAATTCATGTTTGTTTGGGCACAATGAAATCTTTGGAATATATGAAATGTTGTCTTTCTTGTATAAAATGACTAATTAAAGCTCATAGAAGTATTTCAGTATTGTTTTAACCTGATTTAGCCACAATACATTACTCAAAAGACGCTCAAAAGTTTTACAATGATAATGGAGTAATGTTGGTTCCGAAAAAGATGAATCCTCCAAACTGCCCCAAATTATGTCGTATTGAAAAATATTGGGCCATCATAAAAAAGAAATTGAAATTAAGTGGAAAAACGGTAAAATCAGCTACAGATTTGAAGAAAAAATGGGATAACGCTGCTAAAACTTACAAAAATCACTCTGTCCAGAAACTTATGGGAGGCATCAAAAAGAAAGTCAGAATTTTCTGTAAAACTTAATTTTTTTTTTTTTTCCTTATTAATATGTAATCTTTACAGTCTTAATTTTTCAGAAATATATTGATTTAAATCTTTACAGATTTAATTTTTCAGAAATACATTGATTTAAATACATTTAAGCTTTCTTACATCCTTTTTTGATCAAGAAAGGTGGGCAGATTTTTCCAATAGCATGTCTTATTGTGCTTTCTGCTAAAATTTCGACTTGGTAATAGTTACTATTTACCTGTAGTTTTAGATTAGTATCTCTGTCACTGACTCTAGCCTGTGCTCAATTTCTCTTCGTTCTAGTTTATTTGGCTCTGATCTTTCTGTAAGTTTTATCTCAATGATTCCTCCTATTATTGTTTTTCTTTTAGCTATTTTAAAGTTTTTTGTGATTTAATAAGAGATTGTTAGCTTTAGTGAGAGATTATTAGCTTTAATGAGAGATTGTTAGTTTTAATGAAAGATTGTTAGCTCTAATGAGAGATTGTATCTTTTTTTCTTGTATTTTATCTTCTTATTGTATATTTTATGAGATTATATCTCATAACTAAAAAAAAAATTAGTAAAAATCAGCCTTAAAAACTAGATAATAATTTTTTCAGCCACCGATAAAAACAAAAGTGTTGTATAAAAAATATTACTTTGGATTTATAAATTGGAATTTTTTATAAAAAATACTTATATTGTAACATGGCGTCAGATCATCCTATCGTTTTAAAATTTCAAAATACTATTGCATTGTAAGGTTTTAGAATTTGTAGTAATCCCTAAATACTATTGTATTGTAAGGTTTTAAAGTTTCTAACTACTATTGTATTGTAAGGATTTAGAATTCAAAGTAATCTCTAAATACCATGGCAATGTAAAGTTTTAGAATTTCTAAATACTATTGTATTGTAAGGCTTTAGCATTCAAAGTAATCCCTAAATACTATAGCAATGTAAGGTTTTAAAATCTCTAAATACTATTGTGTTGTAAGGTTTTAGAATTCAAAGTAATCCCTGAATACCATGGCAATGTAAGGTTTTAGAATTTCTAAATACTATTGTATTGTAAAGTTTTAGAATTCAAAGTCATCCCTAAATACTATTCATATAAATTTTTTATTGTATGTTTGTTTAAAATTAATTTTTTTTTCAGTTTTCAGCTTTTTTGTTCTTTTTTGCTCTTTGTTTTGAATCTTTTTAATTTCGTTATATTTTTATTCTGAATTTTTTACTTTTTATTGTTTTTGTTTTTTTCGTATTTTTAATAAGCAATTTTTCAAATTTTTTACATTTGAAATGTTGCATCAAATATTTTTTTTTTTTTTTTGTGGGTGCATAGGAAGTGTGATAGAGAGTTAATTTTAACTCATAAAATAGTTATTTTTAGCTGTATTTTACAAGTAAATGACATTTCTGAAACCTATAAATATCAAAATTTAGAAAAATTAGAAGATATTTAAAGTCTGAGTAACAATTGTGCAGCTTTTTTTTTACAATTCATTTTTTTTTTAAAGGGATTTATGTCTTTACTTATGACTTAAGTGTAATCCTTCAAAAAATCCATCAAAAAAATTTTAAAAAAAGTATTTTTAAGTACTTAAAGTTTGTCTCATGCTGTACAACATTGTTAGGGATATATTCAAATTTAAAAAGATTTTGTATATTTGTATGAAATCAGGCCTCAGTTGGAGTAAATGAGTTGGAGTAAATGAGTTGGAGTAAATGAGTTGGAGTAAATGAGTTGGAGTAAATGAGTTGGAGTAAATGAGTTGGAGTAAACGAGTTGGAGTAAATGAGTTGGAGTAAATGAGTTGGAGTAAATGAGTTGGAGTAAATGAGAATTAGAGCATAGAAATGCTCTCCTAAAATAGCAGCAACAACAACAACAACAAGATATTTATTTTCATCAAAATTTACAATCATATAATAACAATAATATACTAATAATAATAAGTAGAAGAATAAGAATATCTATAATGTTATAAATAATAAAATCAAAATATAATTATTAAGAATAAATATAAATAATATATAATAATATATTATATATTCTTTTAAATATTCTTCCTTGGGGTTTCACCCTAGCTATCAATTTATTTATTAAAAACTTTACTTATTAGATAGAAACTTTGACAAAAATAGCTATCAAAGTATTTATTTTTTTTTGTAATAACCATGCCTTTAAAAAAGCATTGCAGTTTATTATGCAATTATTGGTTTATTTCGAAATTTTTGTGTTTTTCATCTTAGTTACAATGATAATGATTTTCTTTTGTTATCAACTTTTCGAACTTGACCATATTGTCATTAATGTTTTAATTACATTACAAAGTATTTCACAAAAGGATTTTAAGAAAAAAATCACTACTCTGCATATCTATGTTTGAGAAGAAAAGAAAAATTTTTTTTTTTTTTTCTTCTAATTAAATTATAATTTTGTATTATAAATATGCAGTATTTATATTCGCATTTATAATACTAAAATTCTGCTTTGCTAAAAACAAAGCAGTGATTGTGGTATATGCTCAATAAGTTGTTGCCATTTGTATTGTTATAATCTCAAGCACTACAAAAAAAAAATCAGTGACTGTTCCACAAAAAAAAATGAAAAATTGCATTTTGTTTATTGGTAGAAAAAAAAAGTCAATCTAAAACTCTAACTTTGTGATTTTTATTGGATGTACAATTGTCAATCGCACATCCAATCAAAAAAAAAAGAAAAATAGTTTATATTTATGGCAAAATTTTGTGAGAACCATAAATTGCTTTAGGGGAATGTGGACGAGAGCTAAAGCTTTTGCTTCAGACTGAGGCCGCAATGGAATATTCCATTGTGTAATTTTAAAAGACACATAATTTTGCAATCTATATGCAATTAAATAATCTTTTATTTTATAAAACAAGAACAGGTGTGGTGAGAACAAGATCAACTGTATCTTTTTTTAAATGTTAACAAATAAGATTATTTTAAACAAAATATTTAACAAAACAATGTATAATTAAGTTTGTATATCAAAAATTGTATATCAAAACAATGTTTAACACAGCATTGTGTATACAACAATGTATAACTGATTATACAACAAAACATTGTATAATGCAGTTTTTTATGGATTTTTAGAGCATGCTGAAGCTGATTGTTTTTTTTGTTTCACAAATTTGATGGGTGAAATTCGTGATCACTTTATTAAAACATTAGATGATTCTCCACTTGGCATAGGTCATTAATTTTTTTTTTTAATATTTATAATGTAAAATTTAGATTATTTTTAATAGCAATTTTTTGTATTTTAAGGTCAGCACATGAACAAGTTATTTTTTTTACTGCAGACAAAAGATGCTGAGTTATGGAAGGATTTAGTAAGTATTTTTAAAATATTTTAAATGTTATGATTAAATATTAATATCTGTATTTATTTACCTTTTTTTTTGCCGTTTTAAACTAAAAAACTATTAATTCTTGTGTAAATATTTTCCTAAATTATTTTATCTTAAATTTAGCTTATGTAAATAACTCCATTGTAAGTTATAACCCCTGATAATTTCTCATATCAAATATGCTTGCTTCTCAGATTGAATTAAAGTTTTCATTTTTGTTTTAGGTTTTATATTGTAACTATTATATTGAATGGTAGCTATTATATTGGATTGTAGCTAATATATTAGATGGTAGCTTTGGTGTTGAATGGTGGCTTTGGTGGCTTTTGTAATGCATGGTAACTTTTATATTAAATGGTAGCTTTTGTATTGAATGGTAGATTTTGAATTGGATGGTAGCTTTTATATTAGATGGTAGCCATCATATTGGATTGTAGCTATTATATTAGATGGTAGCTTTGGTATTGAATGGTGGCTTTTGTATTGGATAGTAGCTTTTGTATTGGATGGTAGTTTTTGTAGTGGATGGTAGCTTTTGTATTAAATGGTAGCTTTTGTAAATGGGTGGTAGCTATTTTAATTTGTAAGACTATAATGGTTTTATGTTATGTTAATTAAATGTTTTCTTTTGTTTTTGTAATTGTCCATTCTTAGTTGAAAACGACGCAGAAAGAGAATGTTTCTTAGAGCATTTTTTGTAAATTTCTTTTTTTCTAAATTTTTTTAAAACATGATTTAAGCATTTAAAACATATCTTCTACAGCATGTTTTTTGTTGCCCTAGTCAAAATTATCAGGTACCAAGAGATTATTGAATGAAATTGGATGTTTGAGGATGAATATTTATTTAGCTTAGTAATTTTAATAACAAATTTAGGAAGCAAAGCAAATGAAACCGCAATTTTTTGCCTTTCGATGGATTACACTGTTGCTTTCTCAAGAGTTCAACCTTCCTGGTAATTTTTTTTGGTTTCTTATATGGCAATTTAAAATTTTTTAAATTAACAATTTGTTTTTTCAGATTTTATATATGTATGTATGTATATATATATATATATATATATATATATATATATATATATATATATATATATATATATATATATATATATATATATATATATATATATATATATATATATATATATATATAAATTTGTAGAATTTTTTCATTTTACACTGTGTTTCATCAACTAAGACTCATCAGAAATGAATGATGAAATTAAAACTTCAATTTATACCAAAAAATTAAATTACATTTGTGGAGTTTGCTGTCACTATTATAAAAAGAATTTTTCAGAAATGATTACTTTAGCTTTTTTTTATAAAAATTTTTTTAAAAAAGGGGGGATTTAATGTAACTATTATTTGAGCTCACTTACTTTTATAGTTTTTTAGGAGAAACTTATTTTTGTGCCTGCATTTAGAAGTCAATTCCGATTTTTGTTTAACAACATTTTTGGTTTGCATGTGTAATTATTTGAAAATTCTTGTAGACATAGTATGCATTATTTGGAAATATTGTTGTATGCAGGCGCTGTTTTAAGGATGGACCAATTCAGTATAAAATCATCAATATTTTTATCTTTTAGTTCCCATATATATTTTGACAGCATGGTGTCTTTTGAATACTTTTTATTTTTAAAACATTGCTTATGATTGGCAAAACGTTTTTTCCATTCATTGTTTACAGTAGTGTAAAGTGTAAAATGAAAAAAAAATTTTGTTAAATGATTTTCTACTAATTTATAATTGCTCTGTTCTTTTAAGGACATTGAGCACTCTATTTTGTAGAATACATTTTTAAAATTGTTTAAATGTATGTATCGATGAGTCATCTACCCTCAATCTTCTAGGATTGGCTCTTCTGATCTTTCTTGGAAACCATATATCAAATCCGTTACAAAATTAGCATCTGCTAAAGTTACATCTCTTTATCAAGCTCGACACTTTCTTGCTCTGGATTCTATTCTCTATCTCTATAAATCTCAAATCCAATTTTGTATAGAATACTTTTGCCATATCTAGGGCGGATCTTCTAATGATTCGCTTTCTCTTTTAGACAAGGTGCAAAAACGCATTGTAAACATTGTTGGACCTGCTCTTGCAGCCAACCTTCAACCATTATCACATTGTCATAATGTTGCTTCTCTTTCTCTTTTCTACAAAATACTATAATGGGCACTGCTCTAAAGAGCTAGCATCTCTTGTGCCATCTACTAAAATTCATTCTTGTGTTACTCATCATTAAATTAAGTCTCATCCTTTTTCTGTGACTGTTCCTAAGTGCTCCAAAAACTCTTATTCCTCTAGTTTTTTTCCTCAAACATCAGCTCTTTGGAATTTGCTTCCTTCATCTTGCTTTCTTGATTCATATAATTTGCGATATTTTAAGTTGTCTGTCAATCGTTATCTTGCTCTATAATCTTCATCTTTTCTCTTCCAGTAACTTCCAACATTAATTTGTGGTTGCTTGCAGCCTTGTTGGAAGCAAAGATGTTAATTTTTGAGCACTCTATTTTGTAGAATACATTTTTAAAATTGTTTAAATGTATGTATCGATGAGTCATCTACCCTCAATCTTCTAGGATTGGCTCTTCTGATCTTTCTTGGAAACCATATATCAAATCCGTTACAAAATTAGCATCTGCTAAAGTTACATCTCTTTATCAAGCTCGACACTTTCTTGCTCTGGATTCTATTCTCTATCTCTATAAATCTCAAATCCAATTTTGTATAGAATACTTTTGCCATATCTAGGGCCGATCTTATAATGATTCGCTTTCTCTTTTAGACAAGGTGCAAAAACGCATTGTAACATTGTTGGACCTGCTCTTGCAGCCAACCTTCAACCATTATCACATTGTCATAATGTTGCTTCTCTTTCTCTTTTCTACAAAATACTATAATGGGCACTGCTCTAAAGAGCTAGCATCTCTTGTGCCATCTACTAAAATTCATTCTTGTGTTACTCATCATTAAATTAAGTCTCATCCTTTTTCTGTGACTGTTCCTAAGTGCTCCAAAAACTCTTATTCCTCTAGTTTTTTTCCTCAAACATCAGCTCTTTGGAATTTGCTTCCTTCATCTTGCTTTCTTGATTCATATAATTTGCGATATTTTAAGTTGTCTGTCAATCGTTATCTTGCTCTATAATCTTCATCTTTTCTCTTCCAGTAACTTCCAACATTAATTTGTGGTTGCTTGCAGCCTTGTTGGAAGCAAAGATGTTAATTTTTGAGCACTCTATTTTGTAGAATACATTTTTAAAATTGTTTAAATGTATGTATCGATGAGTCATCTACCCTCAATCTTCTAGGATTGGCTCTTCTGATCTTTCTTGGAAACCATATATCAAATCCGTTACAAAATTAGCATCTGCTAAAGTTACATCTCTTTATCAAGCTCGACACTTTTTTGCTCTGGATTCTATTCTCTATCTCTATAAATCTCAAATCCAATTTTGTATAGAATACTTTTGCCATATCTAGGGCGGATCTTCTAATGATTCGCTTTCTCTTTTAGACAAGGTGCAAAAACGCATTGTAAACATTGTTGGACCTGCTCTTGCAGCCAACCTTCAACCATTATCACATTGTCATAATGTTGCTTCTCTTTCTCTTTTCTACAAAATACTATAATGGGCACTGCTCTAAAGAGCTAGCATCTCTTGTGCCATCTACTAAAATTCATTCTTGTGTTACTCATCATTAAATTAAGTCTCATCCTTTTTCTGTGACTGTTCCTAAGTGCTCCAAAAACTCTTATTCCTCTAGTTTTTTTCCTCAAACATCAGCTCTTTGGAATTTGCTTCCTTCATCTTGCTTTCTTGATTTATATAATTTGCGATATTTTAAGTTGTCTGTCAATCGTTATCTTGCTCTATAATCTTCATCTTTTCTCTTCCAGTAACTTCCAACATTAATTTGTGGTTGCTTGCAGCCTTGTTGGAAGCAAAGATGTTAATTTTTGAGCACTCTATTTTGTAGAATACATTTTTAAAATTGGACATTGAGCACTCTATTTTGTAGAATACATTTTTAAAATTGTTTAAATGTATGTATCGATGAGTCATCTACCCTCAATCTTCTAGGATTGGCTCTTCTGATCTTTCTTGGAAACCATATATCAAATCCGTTACAAAATTAGCATCTGCTAAAGTTACATCTCTTTATCAAGCTCGACACTTTCTTGCTCTGGATTCTATTCTCTATCTCTATAAATCTCAAATCCAATTTTGTATAGAATACTTTTGCCATATCTAGGGCGGATCTTCTAATGATTCGCTTTCTCTTTTAGACAAGGTGCAAAAACGCATTGTAAACATTGTTGGACCTGCTCTTGCAGCCAACCTTCAACCATTATCACATTGTCATAATGTTGCTTCTCTTTCTCTTTTCTACAAATTACTATAATGGGCACTGCTCTAAAGAGCTAGCATCTCTTGTGCCATCTACTAAAATTCATTCTTGTGTTACTCATCATTAAATTAAGTCTCATCCTTTTTCTGTGACTGTTCCTAAGTGCTCCAAAAACTCTTATTCCTCTAGTTTTTTTCCTCAAACATCAGCTCTTTGGAATTTGCTTCCTTCATCTTGCTTTCTTGATTCATATAATTTGCGATATTTTAAGTTGTCTGTCAATCGTTATCTTGCTCTATAATCTTCATCTTTTCTCTTCCAGTAACTTCCAACATTAATTTGTGGTTGCTTGCAGCCTTGTTGGAAGCAAAGATGTTAAAACATATGTATGTATGTATATATATGTATATATATATATATATATTTGTATATATATATATTTATACATATTTTATATATATATATATATTTGTATATATATATATATTTATATATATTTTATATATATATATATATATATTTATATATATCTTTATATATATATATATATATATATATATATATATATATATATATATATATATATATATATATATATATATATATGTATATATATATATATATATATATATACACATAAAAAGTTAACTTGTTAATATGGTATGGTAATAATAGTACGAATACTTTTGTGTGTATAAGAGTGCTATATACTATTATAGAGCAATATTTTTATATAAAATGCCAATCATCAGCCATAGTGTTTAATTTATAATATAAAAACCATTAAAAAAGTTAAAATGATGTTGGAACAAGTTCTGATGTTACAAAAACAAAACAAAAAAATAATGAAAAGGCATTCAAGTTTTTAGTCCCTGCTGTCAAATAAGTAAAGTAAAAATGAGCAAATTTTCTCCTCTGTATGTCAATATTTGAAACTTCTCACGGAGTCGAAGATTACAAACATTTGTTGCTTGATTGTAGGCCTGCATTGTTACTACACAATTATTTTCCATATAATAAGAGATATTTTATTTTTGATTTCAGTTTTCATATTTCTAGGGTTAAAAATTTGCCAAAACATTTATGGAGATTTTCCAGGAAGTTTTGCTCAAAATTTCAGGAAATTATAAAAAAAAAATTTATTGCGATAAACATATACTTTTAACTTATAAACTTTTGAAAATTAATTTCTTTGTTTTAAAAATTATTTTCATTTATCATTGTTGTATTCTTTAAATATTTTAGTATTCTTTAAATATTTTTAACCAAAAATATAAAATAATAAAGACCTACAAGCGAAAAATACACATCCTTTAGTCTAATTTTTATAATCAAATTTATCAATTTAAGAATCAAGCATTTCGGATAACATCTACTTTTTGTTGTTCTACAAAAATAATATACATAAAAGTAATATGCAACAACTTGTTTTATAACTTATTTAAAAGTAATAAAACACTTAAGTTGTTGCATATTACTTTTATGTATATTAATTTTGTAGAACAACAAAAAGTAGATGTTATCCGAGTTTGCCTGTCTTTTGAGCTTGTATATAACATATTTCTAGCATTTACTTCTCTCAACTACGATGTAAAATATTCACAAAAAAGATGAAAAATAAAGCCATTTTTAGATTAACAACGTTTATTTATTTTTTTTAAAAAGATGATTTTTTTGTGTTTAAAGATTGAATATAAAATTTTAAAAAAGATGAAAAGTGTAAAGGGATGATTTTTATGTATAAAGATTACATTTAAAATACTTTTTAAAAAATTCTTATAAATGCACTAGTTGAGTTAGATTATAATAATTTATCTAAAAGTGACATTAGAAAACTCAATTAAATATGCAATAAAATAATGAATTAATTTGCTTGATATGATACTTATAAAACACACACACAAATCGCCCACTTGGCAGTATTGGTTGAAAAATACAATATACATTTAAGCTATTTTAAAGTATAGCATAATTTTTTAATTTATTGATTTATAAAGTCAAAAGTACCCTAGCAAGGTTGTGGAGAGTGAGACAAGTTTTAAAAGCATTTATTACACATATTAGTGGATTTGGGAAACTACTGAAAAGTCAATTAAAGCTAAGAAGCGATTTCTGATTTCATCATTTTTACTAAACAGGGGTTGTAGCATATGACTTTACATTTGCATTTATTTTGATTTTTGTTAGGTTGCAGTTGGTAGATGAGTTTTGAATTGTATCCTGTTTTACGTAAAGCCTCTTCATACGAAGTTATAGATTTATTAAACACAGTTTCATTTACCTCCATAGTCAATAATCTTAACTCAATGAGTGCAAGATTGTGAGTTGGGTAGGTGAGTTGAATCAGAATAAACATGCATAAGTTGGTTATTAGGTTTACAAAACAGTTGATTGGAACTGTTTAACTGCTAAGTTTTAATGTTACATTAAGATAATTGAAAATTTTAATACTACATTGGATGAAGATAAGTAGGTTGTCACTTTTAAAAGTATGGGTAAAGTGTTTTTGATTTTTTCCGTTTGTTGGCTATTTTTATTTTCAAAAATAGCGAGCTCATCGTCATGATACAAGCCAAAATTATTTTTTCATTCTTAAAATTAAAGATTTTCTTGCATGATATATTAGTTTTTATCCTCACTATAATAATGTGTTGTTCAGCCAAATAGATTTCATTGAAAAGAGTGTTTTGTAAAGTGTAAAGTGTGTAAAGGAATTTTTTATTTATTTTGTCGACATACGGTATAACTGTTATAATGGTTAAATCAATAACTATAGCGGGTGATTTTAACTCAATGTCCCAGGCAGCAAGGTTCATGATTGAAACTTGGTTTTGACCAAAATGAGTTGCTTGCGGCTCATTTTTAAAAAAATACATAGTGTTTTCAGCCACTTGGATTACCTTTGTGTTCACTCAACTTGGATTAACTTAGTTTCAGAATCAGTATTGATTGAAAATTTCTTCAATTTATTAAAAATTATTATTTGTTTTTCTTTACAAATGCATGTTTAAGGAATTTATCATGCATCACTGATATGTGCTGGATAAGTTCTGTTACAGTAGACTTCTTGGAAATTTTTTTGATGTTTGCATATGTTTTAGCTTCGGGTTTTCTCCACTAGTTCCAAGATATTTCGAAGTCAAATGTATCAACCATTTGCAAGTGTTTTTCATACTGTTTCATACCTTTACATGCAGCAATTTTTTTATATATGTGTATGATATTTTATAAATGATTCACAAACAAATTTTTATATCATTTCAGATCCAACTTTGATTGAAGATACTTGAATTGATTTTGGTAACTAAGGCAAATCTTATGTTTTCATGCAAAACTACAAACATACAAAAATTTTGTTGCAGATTTCACATTGCGTGGGCGCAGCTCACAAAATTTGTTCCAATTTTGATGTGCTGATGCCTCGAATAACTAGAAAGCTTCTTTCAGCATATGATATAAATGACACATTGAAATATTGTTGGTTTTTCCATAAAAATCAAACAATATTCCAATGAAATCATTTTTGTTTGAATTTTGTTTAGAAACTTTTTTTTACAAGCTGAACAAAAGAATTAAAAAAACTGCTGCTTTTTTTCCCTTTGTGTATGGTAGTGCTTCAAAAACTTTTTTCAATGCATCTCCTTTTTGTTGAACGTTTTGAAGATGAGTTCTGTCTTTTAGATTAATTAACCAGTTTTCTTTTAAGTGCAAATTTTTAAAACTCTTTGTTTTGCTTTAGAGTAATAAGCTGCTTTTTTATTTAAATCAGCTCTTTGGAATTTGCTTTGTAGGAAATCACTTTTTTTATTTTACACTGTGTTTCATCAATAAAGACTCATAAGAAATAAATAAAGCTTCAATTTATACTTCAATTTCACATCTGCATTTAGAAATCAATTCCGATTTTTTGTTAAATAATCATTCTTGGTTCGCATGTGTAATTTTTTCAAATTTTTCTTGTAGGCATAATATGCATTTTTTGAAAATATTGTTATATGCAGGTGCTGTTATAAGGATGTGGTCCATCCTTATATTTAATATAAAATCATCAATATTTTTATCTTTCAATGCCCATATGACAGTATTTTGACAGTAAATTGAACATTCTGATGAGTCTTTATTAATATCATTAATGATACACTGTAAAATGAAAAAAGTTTGATAAGTGATTTTCTACTAATTTCATTTATTGCTCTGTTCTTTTAAGAACATTGAGTACTCTATTTTGTAGAATACATTTAAAGTTATTTGTGTGTGTACATATATATATATATATATATATATATATATATATATATATATATATATATATATATATATATATATATATATATATATATATATATATATATATATATATATAATTATATATATATATATATATATAAATATATATATATATATATATATATATATATATATATATATATATATATATATATATATATATATATATATATATATATATATATATATATATGTATGTATGTATGTATGTATGTATGTATGTATGTATGTATGTATGCATGTATACGATAAAATATAATACAGATACCCTGAATGCAAAAAGCAAATTTTTTCAAAATATGTTATGTTAGATCTCAAGAGATTTAAAATTATATAAAAATTTTGTCTTGAAAAAATATTCAAACCTGAAAAAGCTTTTTTATTTATTCAGATAAAATGATTCTTTTTGCAATAAAATATAAATTAACAGTTACTGTTTAAATCAATAATAACTAAGAAGCTAAGTTAATTAAAATTGGTTCATTACTTGTCTACCCAGCTCATTCATTACTTGTCTACCCAACCCAACTAAATAACAAGAGTATTTATTTTGCAGATGTCATCCGATTATGGGATTCTCTTTTTGCTGACACAAAGCGATTTGAATTTTTACTTTATGTATGTGTCGCCATGTTAGTGTAAGTGGATTTGTTAAGTGCTTTTTTTCTTCTTTTTTTTTCTATTAATATACAATATTTTCTATTTTTTTTCTATAATATATATAATTCTAATATATTAGAGTTATGCGATTTTATTTATTAGTTTTACTTATATAAATACTATATTTAAGAGTTTTATAAATTCGATTTTATGGATATTTAGACTTATAAGAGAGCAAATATTTGAGTGTGACTTTCCTAAAGCAATGAAGCTCATTCAGGTACAATGTGTTTTGTCATACAATGTAAGATATATAAATAACTATAGATTCTGATTAACAAAACACTAAATATCCTAATTTTCATTGTAATTTTTATTTACAACTAATGCATATAACATTTTATATATTGATGTTATATTAGACATGTATTAGTTTTAAATTTGCATTAGTAAAATCACCCATAACTACCATATCATATAATCACCCATAATTAGAATGTCATTAAAGTATTAGAGTCAATTATGTAGTAAAAATGTGAGTTGTTGGATATATAACATATTTTATTAGGATACAGGTCCTATCACAGGTGGAGGTAAGAGCAGGAGGGTTATTTGACCTGGGCATTTACCCCAAAAATGGCTATAAGAAAGCTCCACATTTTGTAAATACTAAATAAGGATGCTTTGGAATTTTTTGCAAAGCATCCTTATTTGACATAGTATAAACATATAAATAATCGGAGTTTTCTCCATGTCAAGAAGTTAGCTCTCAAGGACCAAAAAATGCTGGATCCCCACTTGTTTTTTTTATCGAAATGTGGTTTACATTATTCATGTTGAAATCAACATTTGTGATTGTTCAAATGGTGCATTTTTAGACATCATTGAGCTTCTTGGAAAATAAGACTCAGTTTTTAATGTGTTTAAGAATCCAAGCAATCAAAGAAAAAAATGCAAGTTATAACTATTCTACACCAATTCAAAATGAATTAATTGATCTATGTGTCTCACTAATACAAAATGAATTAATTAATCTATGTGTCTCACTGATACAAAATGAATTAATTAATCTGTGTCTCACTAATACAAAATGAATTAATTAATCTATGTGTCTCACTAATACAAAAAGAATTAATTGATCTATGTATCTCACTAATACAAAAAGAAAAAGGTTAAAACAGAATTCTATGCAATTTAAAAATATATTTCAAAATTTGAGTGTATTGTGATCTTCGATTTGGACAAAATTACTAAAACTAATTCTTGATTAGATCATTAGAGCATGTGATGCTCTTCTAGATATTGAAAGAGTTGGAATTCTTACTAGTTGGCCGTTTGCGTGAGAAATAAAATCAGATCAAAGCTAATATTTGCTGCTATTAATTTTGCTATGGAGTCAAACTTAGTAGCAACAAATATAGGCATATCAAATAAATTTTCTACTAATTGTCGTTTACATTTTGTCATCATCTACTTTTTTCAATTAAGACTCACGTAGACTCCAATTATTGCAAGAAATTAGGATTTTCGTATTTCTTTGGGAGTTTAAAAAACTTAGTGACGAAGATCAGTTTTAACTGCTAACAACTTTCAACAGCAGCATCAAAATCAAATTGCACAAGATCTAGACGAGACTCTGTATTTGGAATAAAGGTATTGATGAAAATTTTAAACTTAAATGTACGCCGATCAAACTGCTCAATGAAATATTTGAACTTATCTGTCTGCAGTTTTTTCAAAAATTAGAATTGCACTAGGTATTTATACTAGTTTGCCAACAGCAGCTTTCAATGAACGTTCTTTCAATTTTTTAAAGGAAATCAAAAGATTTCGTAGTTCGACTATGTTTAACATAAACTGTGACATTGCACGAAATCTAAATTTTTCTGTAAAAAAATTTTCTCTAAACAAAAAGTAAGAAGAGCATTTGTTAAATAAAACAATTTGATATAAGTTTAACTTTGACTTTTATTAGGTTTTGTCATTATTTATCATTTGATTTATTTGATTAATTTTTTGGTCATGTTCAAATATATATATATATATATATATATATATATATATATATATATATATATATATATATATATATATATATATATATATATATATATATATATATATATATGTGGATTTTTATTTATATATATATATATATATATATATATATATATATATATATATATATATATATATATATATATATATATATATATATAAATCCACATTAATTATAATTATTAAACCCTAACCCCTAACCCTAACCCTGACCAAACCCTGACCCTAACCCTAACCCTAACCACATTAATTATAATTATATATATATATATATATATATATATATATATATATATATATATATATATATATATATATATATATATATATATATGTGTGGATTTTTATATATATATATATATATATATATATATATATATATATATATATATATAAATCCACATTAATTATAATTAACTGTTAAATTTGTAAGAAGCAAAATGTTTAGTAATGAAAATTAAATATGTTTATATAATTAATAGTTTATAATTTTGAAATGGCCTAGACCTCCTTCTAACCTGTGAAAAGGCCTGTTAGAATAAACAGTGATATGTAAAACTCTCGATCAAATTTTCGTTTTTAATATCATTAATTTTATTAAATAACTGCGTTAACAATAATCGCAAGCATAATCAGACATATTATAAAACATATAATTATAAAAAAAATAATTTTAATTTTCTATTATGCTATTATTTTTTAAAACTCAAATTTCATTTCGTAACCTCTGAATTTCATTTCGTAACCTATTTCTGAATATTAATTCTGAATATTATTTCTGAATATTATTTCTGAATATTATTTTGGTTTTAATTATAATAACAAGTTGTTTATTAGGAATAGTATTTTATATAATCAAAAATATTAAAAAAATATTTTTACTAATTAACTATATAAATAATAAAAATATAAAAAATATATTTGTGCTAATTAACTAGTATAGTGAAAAGTTGAGCAGCTCAGTGGTTAGCGCGTTTGCCTCAGAAGCTAGAGATTCGTAGTTCAATGCCACCCGTAGTTTAAGGAAGATTGCATGAACTTCCTTTCAAATGCTCTTCCGCGATGCTCTGTGATGAGACCGTAAGGACTTCTTGGGGCACCTTAAATAAAAAAATTAAAAATGTATATATAAATATGTAAACGATTTTAATATAGTTAATTTATAAAAATATATTTGTAAAATTATGTAAATAAATGTGTATGTAAAGACATTTAAATATAGTGAATTTGTATAATTCATTAAATCACGCTGTCATTTTTAATATGTCTACATTATATACTTTACTGTCTAGAATTTCCCTCACGAAACCTATGATATGTCTGTAATAATTCGAAAAGCTGAAGAGTTACGCGTTGTTTCTTCATACGTTCCCGTTCAACCTGATGGTGATCTTCCTTCTAAAAGTAAAGAAACATTTTTACAAAGATCCAAGTTTAAAAAAAAATTTAGCATACATGTTCGTAATAAATCTAGCTAGAATTTTTTTATGATTGATGATTATTTTTTGTCTTTTTTTTTGATATCTTATAAACTTTTATTTTGCCATATTAATCAACTTACTAGTTATTACACTAAAACTTTATTCTTCGCCAGATCGCAAGTTTAAATACCAAAATAACTTTTCACGCAACAAAAAGAAGGAAAACGTAATAATAATGCCGGAAAAAAAATTACTGTTTAGAAATTCTGCGATAAAAAATATTTTGTTTTTAAACTTGTAACCTTTGATTTTGATTCGTGTGCAAAAAGCGTATTACGAAAATTTACATAATAGATTATAGCATATATATATATATATATATATATATATATATATATATATATATATATATATATATATATATATATATATATATATATATATGCTATAAATGTTATATATAAAATGATTTTATCTCTTTTATTACCTAATATTATATATATAGAGAAATATTTCATAACTTTTATAAATATCTTTATAACTTTAAAATACTTATAAAAATCGTAGTTTTTAAGCACTATTGATATATATATATATATATATATATATATATATATATATATATATATATATATATATATATATATATATATATATATATGTTTTTAAATGTTATAAATTTAAAGTTTAAAAAATTGTAGACATTTTTGTATCTAATATATATTTTTTATTATTGTTGCTTGTTATCTAAATTTATGGTTATTTTATCATAGTTTAAAAAAAAATTAAGAAATTTATCATGCACTTCTATCTTATCTACCATTCTTTCAAATTTTACTATTTTCTTTTAAATTATTTATATCCAGTGATTGTTTCAAATTGGCATTTTAAAAGTTTAAGTGATAATTTGTTTGAAAAAAAGCCGGAACTTTGTTTCGTGTTTTTTTTTTCAAACAGCGTAATCAAAATCAACTTAAGTTAAACCATGTGTTAAAATAAATTTTTTTTATTTATAACAGCTCTTGTCAGATTAGATTTTGTTTACATTGCTTAAAAATAAAAACTTAATTAGCGCTCATTAATTTCTATGCATCTTTTGCCTTCTCTACGTATAATCTATTAAGATTTAAGAGTGTATACATGAATTCATTTATAAATCATATCGGAAAGAGAGTGGTTTTGCAATAAGTATTTGTTGCTTGGAAACATTTCATCCGTTTATTTTGTAATATATTATACAAAAAAAAACTTGTACAAAGTGGTACGGGATTTTAATTCTTATGAATTGCAAAATTTAAAGAATTTATAAGTTAAAATTTTTACGCCTTTTCATTTAAGTGTTTTGCTTTTTTATAAAATAACTATTGCCGTTTATATCTCAAATTCACTAACCATCCCAGAGGTATGCGTGGTAATAGTAATTTATTTGATTTCAAAATATTTTCTGTTGACTCTTTATGAGCATTAACAAGCGTAATAAAGTTTGGCCTTTTGTTAATTATTTTCTTATTAAAATAGTTTAAATGTTTGAACAAATTGATTTTATTTACGTTAGGTTTAAGATTAACCATTAACAATAACTTTGGTAATCTGGGTAATTTAGGCAGCTAAAGCTGTTACAAATTAATACGATGAACAAGCAAAGATCGAATGCGAGATTAAACGAAAATATTTTTAATGCAAACGCTTTTATAAAGTTATCAGTTGATCTACACTTTTTTGTCATTTCTTTTTCAGAAATATTTTTATTCATGACATTTTGGCAATTATTCGTGTAGTTCACATGCATACTGTTATATGTATTTGTTTAAAAGATCTTGATACATTTATAAAAGTTTGCAGATTTGTATTATGTTTAAACACTTTATAAAAATTTTTCATTCAAATAAATTTTTTTTTTTTAATTATTTATTGTAGTTATAATCTCAAATAAAAAGTTTTATACAAAATTAGCACAAAAGGTTTTATTAAATAAGCATTTTACAAATTCTACTATAAAAAACCTCTGCATGGTAAATAAAAACAACACAGTGGCTGTGAAAATATTTATAATATTTGTGTTCTTTAATATTTATTGGTATTGAATAAACATAAATTCAATTTAATTAACTATGTTTAATTTTTTTCTGTAGAAAAATACTTACAAAATAATGGGAAGAAAATAATACAATTATATTTTAAATGGCTGAAAAGTATGGCATAGTGCAAACAAATAAAAAACATTCTTATATGGAACCAATTGCACCATGTGAAGAATCTGACAGTGATGAAGATGAAAATGAACGAAGAAAACATATAAGTCTTAAAGGAGGGCATGGATTTTTTTGGTTTTCAAATAAGTTTAGTAACCAATGGGATTTAACTAAAGATAGCTATGATTTGTATACTAATTTTAGTGCTGAAAATCAGTTAGCTGAAAAAGGAAAACAAAAGTTTGTACGAAATAATAACCATAGACATACTTTAAGGCATGTAAGATGTTCATCAAATCCTCCTATCGGATTAGATAATATACATATACGTAACGAATTTGAATATGGTTTTAATACTCAAAGACCAAATGGTAGTAAAGCTAATATGATGGTCAAAACTAGACCTATTTCACTTTATTTATCATCATCTGTAAAACCAAATAACTTTATTTATTCAAATGAGCAAAAGCAATCACAAAACTTTTTAAAAGAGAATCTTTTAGAAAAACCTATTTCTTTTGCTAAAAACGATATTGAGGCGCTTCTAGAACAGGAAGTGTTTATGCTTAGAGCCCAACCTTCAAGCTTAAATATTCATGGATCTAAAGGAAATGCTAATGAGGAAGAGTTAGCAGAAGATTTACGTATTGCAAGGAGAAAAAGATTTTTAAAGCGTCAATTGTCGTTTGATTCACATCCTCGTCATCGATTAAGCAAAACACTATCACTTGAAAGTGTCTTGGAAAGCAATAGAAGTTTTAAGAGTTTTCCTTATCGTATAAAAGCTTCCCAATCTAATCTCAGTGAAGATTTTTTATTAGATGTGGCTACTAACTTTGTTTGGGACAAAAAACAGTCATCAAAAACTTTAGTGTCAGAAAATTATATAAGAGATGATCTTGATGCTCTTCCTAGTTTTACTACAGACTCCTCTAGAGTTACTTTATCACAATCTAATAATTCAAATTCATTAGGCCCTGTAGAAAAGCAATCATCTTCAAATGTTCACACTGTTAGTGATTCTGAAGAGAAATTTAAAAATGAGAAAAAGCGTAAGCCTGGTATTCCAAATTTATTAAGTGCATTTCGGTTACCAAACAAAAACACTTTTAAAAAATTTATTCGTTGGAAACAACATAACTCTAGTTTGTCTATAAATGTACCTCATGACATTCAAAGGCCTGAACACTGTGAGAGTTTACCAAAAATAATATCACTTCAAAAGACAGAAGTAGTTAATAGTTGTCATAAGGTATCTTCAGATAGTTGTAATGATATAGTTATGAATGATAAATCAAGTTCAGTTTACTCACTTGCCAGGGTTGATGAAGGTAAAAATAATTATTTTTTGTTATTTAGTGTGAAATTAAAGGATTCATTTTTATATATTTTTATTATAATTATTACCTTTTAGCTATGACAGTCATTAAAAAAAAAAGATGTGTATGTATATATATATATATATATATATATATATATATATATATATATATATATATATAAAAAATATATATATATATATGTATATATAAAAAAAAAGATGTGTATGTATATATATATATATATATATATATATATATATATATATATATATATATATATATATATATATATATATATATATATATATATACATATATATATATATATATATATATATATATATATATATATATTTATTTATTTATTTATTTATTATTGCTCTGTTCTTTAAGAACATCGAGCACTCTATTTGTAGAATACACTAATTTAACTTTAAGGGGGGATCATCCATAAAATACGTTACCCTATATTTGTTAATTTTTAACCCCTTCCCTCCTGTCTCAAACAATCATTTTTACATAGACAAATATTTGATAAATATATATGTATATATATAAGTATATATATATATACAGTGGTGTACACTGGATTTTTAGATGTTTGAGTTTTGACACTTACACACATTGTGCAAACTCCAAACTTTTGTATGTTCATACTTATGTCAAATGAGAATGTTTTGCAAAGTGTTGTGGTGATTAGAGCTTGGGGACAAAAAAAACTCCAATTTTCAGGCCCACCCAACCCTTAATGTGGGAGCAACAAGTTGATAAAATAATTTCTTTAGTATTTTTATCTAAGTTTATATTCATCAAAGAATTTCAAATTTGATTCAATAACCTCTTAGTTTTTAGTTTTTATGACTCTACAAAGTTTACAGCCCCCTCAAATTGGGGGGGGGGGTTAAAACTTTATATGGTCATAATTTTCGAAAAAAAAGAAATTATTGGATGAAATTTGAAATTTGTTGGTAAATATAAACTTAGATACAAATCCTAAAGAAATTATTTTATCAACTTGTTGCTCCCACGTTAAGGGCTGGGTGGGCCCAAAAATTAGAGTTTTTTTGTTTCCAAGCTCTTATCACTGCAACTCTTTGCAAAACATTCTCATTTGACATAAGCATGAGCATACAAAAGTTTATATATATATATATATATATATATATATATATATATATATATATATATATATATATATATATATATATATATATATATATATATATATATATATATATATATTTAATTATGTATATGTATAATTAACTATCGAAAAGTATATTAATCATTTTCACAATCTACAGATAAAGAGAGCTTTGAATTTGGGTTGGAGCGTAAATCTTGCAGCAGTTGTAGCATCTCTAAGAACAATTATGCTGTAAAAAGATATGAAAATATTTTAGAGAGACGCATGAGTGATACAGCACTTTCTTGTGCAGAAAGACAAGGTTAGAAATTTAACTTCAATTTTAGTTAAAAAAACAGTGCATTTTTTAAATCTAAAAATTGTATGTGTTTTATAAATGTAAATTTTGTTAATGACATACCCAATTTGACTCAAAAACCTTTTAAGGGGTATGGGTTTTTTTTTTTTTTTTTTTACAACCCACACAACTATTTAGCTATAAAATAGAAGCCTTGAAAAATGACCCTACTGTGCAGAAAAACAAGTCTACTGCGCTGAAAAATAAAACAACATTTTCCACTACTGTATAGTCTTTTTTATTGCATCCCTAAACACTTATTTAACTAAATTTTTACTTACAGTAATAATATTTGGTTTCATTTCTTTTAGCATCAAAGTTATTTATTAGCAAAATATAAAAATGAAATTTGATAATTTAATAATTTAACAATTATAAACAGTTTTAGTTAAGTTTAACAACTTGAAGAAAAAAAATGGTACTAAATGGATTTTGTTTAGAAGTTTTTTATTAATTTAGGACTTTTTGATATATGTGTGTATTTACACATATATTTATACATGTATTTATATTTATATCTATCTCTGTGTGTGTGTCTATATATTCAGTTTATTTTTATGGCAATTGAAAACATGCTGATCAAATTTATCTGAACCAATTCCTGTTCTGCAGGTGTAGATGTGTAGATTAGTTCTTAACCTTAGGTTATTAGTTTTACCAATGTATGTTGTTTTTCCATCACATCTATTACATCATTTTTATCTTCCCTAAAACGGTTTACAGGAGCAATTTACGGCTCTCGCAAAAGTATAGTTTTTCTCACGAAAGTATAAGTATCTTTGAAACTTAAATAAATAACAATGTCATTTAAAGAAAAATTAATTGCATAATATTCTGCAACGCTTAACAAAAATTTTAAAAGAATGCCAATTTAAATGAGGAGCAGCTTGCACAGCTCCCTAAGTTTGTTTTAGGAGAGCTTTTCTCTGTTCTTGTGCTCATTTATTCCCGCCAAGGCCTATATATATATATATATATATATATATATATATATATATATATATATATATATATATATATATATATATATATATATATATATATATATACATATATATATACATATATATATATATACATATATATATACATATATATATACATATATTATACATATATACATACATATATATACATATATATACATCAGTGAAGAACCCAGACATGTTTTAGTACCATTTTATCGGTATGGGCTCCCAAAAAAAAGCCCATAAACGTTATTATTATTTTTAATTATTCTTTTGGTTTTTTATGAAAAATAGAAAAAAAATTTTAGTTTTAAATGCAGTAGTATATAAATAATTCTCAGTTTAATTTAGCTACCTCATTTTTTCTTCAGGAAAATATAAAGAATTAAAAAGAAATTGCTTTTTTACATAACTTTGAGACATAATTTGCCTTCGGTTATTAACTGGACATAACTTTTAAAAAAATGAAAATCGTTGCGAAACTTAATTTTAAAACCACGTTGCAAAATTTTATAACAATGGAATGTATAAAAGATTTGCTTTTTTGAAAGTTAAAGCGTTTTTAAATATCCATTCAGCGTAAGGTTAATTTTTTTTTGGCAATTAAGAGTAAAAAACTGCTTTTGATAATAAATGAACAAAAGTAAATAATAACTTGTAATTATCACACAAACTTGTACCTATCCGCGTAACTATCGTGCAAGTTTAATTTTTAAATGAATGAACTTTTGATCTTTAGCTTGCAATTTTAGTTTACGTGAGGAAAAGGAAAAAACGTATAAACTTTTTCAGACAGTTTTTTTTCCTTTCAATATTCTTTTTTAAATAATAATAAAAAAAGTTAATGAAATTTATTTATTCAAATGTAATTTTTTAAATTATTCTTAATAATTAAAAAAATATTTTTTTTTTAATGTTTTCAAAAATATAATATTTTAATCAAAAAAATAGAATATTTTTAAAATAATGTTTACTGTAATTATCTCCTTAATTATCTTTAATTTAAAAGGCGCCTTAAAATCACTCAAAAAATTATAACCTTTGGTAAAAGTTAAATGAACAGATTTACTAATATTTAAATCAAAATTTTAAATTTAAAATAATAGAACCTAAGTTTATTCAATTCTTATGTTTTTATTCGAATAGTTTATTGAATGCGTTTATTAAATGCTTATCGAATTTGTTTATTAAATGCTAATGTTTTTAATTTAAATACAAGATATAACACTATTTAGTTAATTTTACAAATATTACGTGATATAATATATTTATATATATTATGTAATGTAAATATTGATTAAAAATTGTTTAAAATATTTTTAATTATTATTTTAAATTAAATTTACTAAAATATAGTTAATAACCATTTAAAATACTTTGAACAATTTTCAATAATTATTTACTGATAGTGTGGTATATGCAACAAAAGCGTTTATTAAAGTATTAAGTAAAATAGTTTTCTTATAGCTATAGTAACATTGTCCACCAGTAAATTCATGTATTCAAAAAATGCCTTTAAATCAAAACCTTATTATAGGATAAAACTGAACAAGATAAACATAAATTATTATTAAGATAATTATGATTAAAAAATTATTGTTGCCACACCTGTTTAACTAGAGGAGAATGAGGGGCAGGGGGAAATCAAAAGCATAATTCCCCCCCCCCCCCCTCAACGTTGCTGAAAAAATACCGACATCCCTAAATAAACTCTAGGTTCCTCACTGTGCGTGTGTGTATATATATATATATATATATATATATATACATGCGTAGAGCAATTTACTTACGCCTTAAGTAATTTTATGTTAGCAGTAAGCGATTTCAGTTAAGTGACTTTTTATCATTTTTTAACTTTTAAATTATTCAATAAGCGGTAAGATAAAAGAAGTAATTAATTTAAAAAAAGCCACATTAACTTTTGAATGATGTTTATGTAAAAATATTTGTTAGAAAAGTTTGTATGACAATTATGTTTGATATAAGCACTATTTACTAAAAGTTTATTGATTTTTTAGGCTTGAAGCAAAGATCATAAAAACAATTTAATTTTGATAAAAAATATATGATTTAACTTAGATTTTAAAAATATGTAATTTAATTTTGATTAAAAAAATATATTTAAGTTTATTAAAATTAAAGTTAATGCTTGGGTTTAACTTAACTGTCAAATTTATTTAAAAATATTGCTAAATATTATTCAATATTAAAATTTTATTTGTTCTTAAAAAAAAATTAGCTCCTTTTTATTGAAATTGTTTTTTCAGTTTTCCCTCCTAAATATATATATTTACTCAAAATTAAGTTTTAAATAAGAGGCTGCATCAAAAATTTGCACTAATTGTAAGTTAAGCTTTTTTTTTCTATAACGCAAGATAAACCGCACCAATTATTTTTTTTAATAAATGATATATACAGGGATATAATTTTAATAATAAAATAATAAACTTTTAATAAACAAAATAAATAAATTAATGTAATTTTTTTTATTTGTTACTAATTTTTTTAAATAAACCTTTAATAATAAACAATTGTCTGTTGGTAGGATTTAAACTCTCATCCAATGTTGATATAAAAGTTGCGTGTCATAAATGTTTCTATTAATCAGTCTAATTGCTACATCATGGCGATATAAGAAAAACTTTTAGCTTTAAAATATTAAATAAAATGCTTTTATATTAAATTAAGTTTGAGCTATTAATTGAGACTCTTTTAAATTAAAAATATATCAGTTTTATGCTTTTATTTGCTCTTTATTTATTTTATCATTTATTAAGTTAGTTTGTCTTTTCAGTTTATGGTTTGTTTATTTTTAATTTTCACTTTAAATTAGTTTAGTTTTTTCAGCGCATTTTTTAAAAACACTATCAATATTATGCAAAAAATCCGTGGCCAATTTGTCAAAAAAAAAATTTGCATGCGTGGTCATGTAAGGCGTTCAACCGCAGTGTCTCTAGAGAAGGCTTGATATATATATATATATATATATATATATATATATATATATATATATATATATATATATATATCCTCAGTAGGAGTAGATGAGTGCTCAAGCAAATTTTTTGATATTAAGAAAAAAAAGCTCATAGATAAAATGAAACTATTATATTTTTAATAAATATTTTATTAAAACTAAAATGAAATTGATAACTTTGTTTTAATAATTAAAAATACAAAATTTAAAAACTTTTTAAAAACTACTAAAGCTCTTAAGTTCTTTGTTGTTGTTTTTTTATAGATTTTTTAATATGCTTTTTAATGAAATTCTCATACTAGTCATTTGAACTTATCGAGTTTATGTAAAAATAATTATATCAAAACACTTTAATTACAAAGTTTTTTCACAAAAACTTAACAATGATAATACAATCTTTAATTACGAATTTTTTTCACAAAATCTTAACAATGAATAAACTTTTTGTATTATTATTTTTGCGTATTTATGTAATACTTTTTAAAGCGATATTTTAAATGCATTTTTTAAATGTGTTTTATACTAATTTTTTTTTTATGATAGTAAAATAAGACTTAACCTAAAAAACATTAAATTTTTCTTTTTTTAAAAAAAATAGTTATGAATAGAAGTAGTTTTTCACAAACTTTATTTTGCCCCTGTAAACTGATTTACAAAGGTTGCAATTTCCTAATAAAATTTTTGCGCTATTATTCTAAAAACATGCATAAAAGAAAAGATTGCTGCGTCATGTCAAACCCTCAGTTGATGTAGCTCAAACCAGCAGCAGGCTATAAGGTAGTTGATGTATGTACTGAAGCCCCTTCGTCTACCTCTTTTAGTATGATGTCATCAGTGCGCATCTGATGCAGCATTTATATATGTGTGTAAATATACATGTGTGTATGCAACATATGCGTGTATATATATGTGTGTGTGTATATATATATATATATATATATATATATATATATATATATATATATATATATATATATATATATATATATATATGCAACCATATATATACATTATATACTATATATAAATCTGTGTGTATATATGTGTGTGTGTTTATGTATATATATATATATATATATATATATACACACTCATGTATACATTATGTATTATATATAAATGTGTATGTGTGTGTGTATATATATATATATATATATATATATATATATATATATATATATATATATACATATATATATATATATATATATATATATATATGTATATATATATATATATATACACAGGTAATTCCCCTAGAAGAAAATTTGTTAAAAGGATACTTTCACCAGTTGTATGTGGTCTTCAGTTTCCTGATAGGTATGAGGCTTTGGACTATTCTAACTCCAGTCTTACTAGTTGTGATTCTTTATCTATTGCGTCCGAAGGAGATGTAAACAATTTGTTGTTTGAGTTTGGATCCCAAGAACTGGCCGATGAGATAACTCTAATTGATAAAGAACTTTTGATTAGAATTCCTTGGCAAGAACTTGCTAACTGTAGTTGGATGACACAAGAAAAGGTTAGTTAAAACTAAGTTTTGAAATAAATATTATATAATCTAGTTTTAGTATGACTTATTGATTGTGTGCGTTTAATAAATGTTTTGTTTTTAAATGTTTTACCAAAGATTGTTGGCTTATTACCTTCATAAGTTTCAAAGGTTGCTTTTTTTTATGAAATTGTAAACAATATTATTTTGTTTCATGCATCATTGCTTTCCTTTTTTTTTTTTTTATGAAATTGGCTTTGTTCTATCTCAATGATTCCTATATTAAAATTTTTTTAAAACTATCAAAGACTAATTTTTTTTTATTGAAAATAACAACTATATGAAAAAAATTCACTGTTTTATGAATATACTTTCTAGATTTTAAGAGGTAAAATATTTACTTAATCTTGAAATAAGTTTTTATTTGATCCCTTAAGTTTTTTTTTTTTTTTTTGGTGGATTAAATATTATTTTAACTAACTCATTTGTTTCTAATTTACACTACTAAATTGGTAAAAAAATTGTCTTTATTTGAAATAAAGTATCAAACTGAAATATGTACGATATTGCATATACCTCAGAATGTTTGATCTATGTAAAAACGTTGATAAAGCAAAGTACTCTTGTTTAAAAACCTTGTAATTTTTTGTCAGTTCAGTTTTATTTATCAAGTGAAACTGTTGACATGTAATATTGCTTTATGTTTTGGCCATTATTGATTACTGTAATATTTTGTGATATCTGTGTATTTTACTTTCAAATTTTAGTTTTTTTTGGCTCCTAATACAATGAAGATGGTGCAGTTTTTTAATCGTATTGCAATGATGGTAGCTACAAGTATTTTGTCTGAAGAAACTGCATATAGAAGAGCCAAAGTTATACGCAAAGCTATTAAGGTAGTTGCTTTTAAATTACTTAATCATATAAATTATTAAATTAAAATACTAATTTCATAAGTATTTTAATTTAAAATGTTTTGTTATAAATTACAATGAATTGAAAACTTTGTAGAAACTTGCTTGTAAACAAGCAGTTAAGTAAAAAGTTTTAAGTAGTTAACAATAGTTGCGCAGTAACCCGAAAGTAAAAGTACTTTTAAAAAGTAAAAAAATAATAAAGGGTTTAAGAATCTTTTTTTTTTTTTACTTGTTTCAAATTGATGCTACTATTTGTTATTTAACATTAAGTGAAATTTAAGTACAATAGGAGACTGTCTTATAGTTGATATAAACTCAGTGTCTTATAGTTGATATAAACTCAGGGGGGAGGGTGGATTTGAATATAAAGTTACATTTATAACACACTTTCGGTATTGGTTCGAAAACAAAATCCTCATTTGAAATTTGAATTTTATTTAAGAAAATAAAAGTATGGTTAGATTTTATTTATATCTACTTATGTTTATAGCTATCTTGTCGCTGTCGTTACATGAAAAACTACAACTCTTTAAAAGCAGTTTTAAGTGGAATGCAGTGTACTCCTATATTTAGGCTGAAAGCAACGTGGAAGCAAGTTCCATCCAAGTACAGAAGGTACACCTTTTTTTTTTTTTTTGCTGGATTGTGACACCAGTCACAATGAGTTTGCAAAATCATACAAATTTAAGCATTAAAAAAAATTAAAATTAACTGACACTTGTATTGGAATATGCAAAAATGTAAAAAAAGGCATTCAATGTTTAGATTTAAAAAAAGAACTTGAATTTGTGCCTCTGTGTTTCAAGAGCTTCAAAGACCTGTAGCAATTTTCTTAAATTAAAATTTGATTTTAAAACAACTCTATATTGAACTTTTTTTTTAATTTTGAAGTTGTGATGGTATCATGATAACAATACTGCAAGGAAAACAGCAGCATTAAATTGAATTTTATCATAGCCTTTTTTTTTTTTTTTTTTTTTTCTTGTTTGGTAAGTAAAACTCAAATTAGAAATCATTGCATATAGAGTAGGGTGCATAATATATATATATATATATATATATATATATATATATATATATATATATATATATATATATATATATATATATATATATATATATATATATATATATATATATATATATATATATATATATATATATATATATATATATATATAGTCTTGCATGGTAGTTTTTCCCATAAACTGTAGTTTTAAAGAGTACATTAATAAACCAGACCAGAAAAAGTTTAAAAACTTTTTCTGGTCTTGTTTATTACTAATTTTTTTCTTAAATGATAGACTGCCTGCCCAAACCGAACCCTCAGCCGATGTAGCAGTACTCCCTTGCGAGTTAGGCTATTTGTCAGTCGATGTAGCAACACTCCGTGTCGAGTCAGGCTATAATATTGTCGATGTAGCAACACTCCGCGCATGTTTTAAAAATATATTTTAATAAAACAACAACAAAAATACCATTAATTAAAAAAACTTTCTAGTCATTATTATTGCAGTTTTTTTTAAAACAATAAAATTTAATGTACTTCCGCATTAATTTAATTCTTTGACATTTCGACGACAATAAAATACAGCTTAAGAGTTGAGGTAGCAAAATTGTAGTCGAAAGAGACTTTTTTTACCATAAATGTCTATTTCGACTTCGATATAAGAATATATATATCAGTAGTGTACACTGTATTTTTAGATGTTTCAGTTTTGATACTTACAGGCATTGTGCAAACTCCAAACTTTTGTATGTTCATGCTTATGTCAAATGAGAATGTTTTGCAAAGAGTTTTGGTTATTGGAGCTTGTGGAAAAAAAAAACCCAATTTTTGGGCCCACCCAGCCCTTAACATGGGAGCAACAAGTTTATAAAATTATTTCTTTAGTATTTTTATCTAAGTTTATATTCATCAACAAATTTCATGCAATAACTTTATAGTGTTTAGTTTTTTTTTTATTTTTTATTTTTTTAATTTTAATTCACCTCCTCAAGGCTGAGAAGGCCACTACAGACGAGGAGGCTACTTATTTGTGGTTATAACCCTCTCTCAACTCTATAACTCGGAAACACGAACTTTAACGAACAAGGCCGCTGCGCGGAGAAACGAGTTGAACGCGGTACTACCAGGGACGTGGTGGGGATCGAACTGGGAACCACTCGTTTATGAAGCGAGCGCTCTACCACTACACCACTACCGCATATATTTTATGACCCTACAAAGTTTACAGCCCCCTCAAATTGAGGGGGGTTCAAACTTTATATGGTCATAATTTTCGAAAAATAAGAGATTATTGCATGAAATTTGAAATTTGTCCTATGAATAACTGTTCGTCAGCATCATTTCTTTAGAATAAATCTGCTTTGTAGTGAAGAAAACAAAACATACAAATTGGGATTAGTTTGCAAAAATGTTTTGGACGATTTGTTATTTATTAATAAAAAACTTTTTTATTTTTTGTATGTTAAAAAATGTATTGAGTGTTTGCATATAGAACAACTTTTTTCTTATCAATTTTGCTTAATATTTAGAATGTTTCGTGAATTATCAGAGCTTATGTCAGAAAATAATAATTTCAGTTTGTATCAACAAGAACTTTCCACTTCTCTTCAGAATCCTCCAATTATTCCTTTTCTTGGAAACTTTCTTACTACTGTTGCTCATACTCATACATACATGGCTGTTCTGACAAAATACAAAAACCAAACTTCAAGTGTTACTCAAAATGCTTCACATGGTAGTTCAACTAGTGAATCACCTGAATTACGTTTTTCTAATGAAGCGCCTGATTTAAGACAAAAGAATTCATCAAATAAAAATCATTCTCGAAGCGATTCAGATGATAGTGGAGTAGTATTATGCCGTCTAAGTCATACATTAGATGGATTTGATATTAGCCCAAGGGAAAGTTGCTTAAGTTCTCCTGATGACGATGAAAATCGCTTGATGGAAGATATTTTTACAAAGCCTAATTCTGTTAAACATTTAACCCCAACACAAAAGCGGAAAAGTGCATCACATGATCTTATTTTTAATTCTACCGACATAAAACTATTCCATAAAAGTTATAGTGTAGATAATAGTTCTAGTAATAAGAAATTTTATGCAAATTTGAATAATATAATAAACAAAAGACCTATAGAACCACCTATTCGAGATCCGTTTTATGATTGCGAACTGTTGTTTTGGAAATTTCAGATTTCAGCAGTGCAGTACAAACTTGTTGTTCGACCATATATTCAAAGATTTTTAGTCAATTGTCCCTTTAATACTGAAGAAGAAAATTATAAACTCTCTTTGCTAAGAGAGCCTCCGTGTACAAAGTTTTAAATCTGTTTATTTAAACATCGCTAGAATAGAAATTATCTGGCTTATGTAAAAAGTCTTTCTGCGAATATATAATTTTCAGTATCATTAATTTTATTTGATACTGAAAAATGCTTATCGAAACCGTACATTTTTAGTTTAACTTTAATCCAGAAAAAAAAAGAAAATTTTTCTGTTTTATTTTTATTTGATTTTAATCTTCAAGTTTTTACTCAGCTTTATCTTTTGTGTAGGAAAAAAAATCTTTTTTTTTTATTATTTAAACTTAGGTTATATAATATTTAATACTGTTTTAATAATTATGTATATAGTGAAAAATATAGAGTAAAGCATATTTAAAGAAAAAAAATGAAGGAGTTGTATAAATAATTTTTTTATATTTAAAAACTCTGTTTTAACAAATCAACAGTTTCATGATGAATATGGAGCAATGGGTCTGGCTAATAATTAAAACAATAATAAGTGGGCCACTATGAGAAACTAATGATATCTGTGGATTCCTATGGCATAAGAATACCCAAGAACAAAAAACTTTTGTATTTTTTCAATTGCGACATTTCAAATTCTCTAAAACCGTACACAAAAATAGATATTTCCAGATAATTTGGAAAAGTGGTTGAAAATGTTTAGTAAAGCAACAAAAGAGCATCCATATTATGCTGTTTTAATTTTTCGCCATCTTTTTATAAAAGAAAAATAAATAAAAAATTCTGGACAAAGCTGCGCATTTTCAGACTAAAAAAAATGCATCTCATTTTTGAAATGCCCATACCGAAGTTAAGTGTTTCTCTGTATTAAAAACTAGAGTTCAATAAATTTGCGGTTAGTTCTAAAGCTATTTCTTTCACCCATTCAACTTGTTCTTGTCATAACCAAAAATAACCATCAACTCATGCACGACTTTTGATGCAAAACAAATGGAGTAGATTCTGTACGTTGTCGTTGAATTGAAGAACAAGAAAAAATAATATTTGAATCTTTCACCTACGCCTGCTACTGAAATGTGCTTACGTTTTATGCATTAAAAAAAAGGTGGAAATTTATTGTTTTTAAAGTGTTTTCGTAATGGTGTCCTGAGCAAATTTAGTCCATGTCGTAATATTACGCAAGTAAAAAGTGGTTTCTAAATGTCCTTGCCGTAATATTACGCAAACAAAAAGTGGTTCCCTAATGTCCATGCCGTAATATTACGGTTTTATGCATATCCTTATATTTACTTCTTGTTTATCAGTAATTATACGTCTACTGGTCACAAAATTTATTACTACGTAATTAAAGAGCTTTTATTTTAATAATTGACTTTTATACGTGTTTACTTTTATTTTAAATATGGCGAATAAGAAAGTTTTTACTGTGAAAAATTCATTATCAAAAAAGCGAATATTTACTCACGAAGAAATAGAGAGTTATATATTTGATGAAAGCGAAGTTCAGAAGAATATTGTAGTTTATCTAATGGTTCTGACGGTGAAAATTCAGAACCAGAATTATTAGAGCTAGGTTTAGAAGAGGAAACGCTTGCATTGGTCGATGCACTAAGTTCTAGCGACAGTTCTTTAGATAATGAACCTTCTGAGTTTTCATACATACCCAAATGGACATCTGAACCTCCAGTTAAAAGAGTTCAACTTTTTGGATTTACCAGTGTTTCTGGGTACAAACAGAATATAGTCAAAAATGATCCTCTTTATTTGTTTGAACTTTACTTTACAGATGAAATTTGTGAGTTTATTGTAAATAAGACCAATCAATTTGCTTCCCAAATTATAAATAAAAAAGAATTTTCAGCAAATTCCAGAATGAGGAGCTGGTTGCCTGTAACAGTTTCAGAGATTAGGCAGTATATTGCAATTTTTTTATATCAAGGAGTACTATGGAAGCCCACGTATGAAATGTATTATACAACAAATCCATTGTTTTCAAGTGCTGGTATTAAGTGGTTGTTATCTTATAACAAGTTCAAGTTAATTGACAAATTTATTCATTTTGTTGATTCTGCTACATTACCAAATAAACATCCTGTTCTATCTAAAATAAGCATAGTATGGGATTATCTTACTAATAAATACAATGAAGTGTATACACCAAACACAAAGTATACCTGTAGATGAATCACTTTTGTTGTGGTCGACTATCTTGGAAACAATGTATTCGCAGCTAAAGTGCCAGATTTGGCATAAAAACATTTTCATTGTGTGAGTCAGAGAAGGTGTGTTGTTTGTTACAAAAATAAAGTTCAAAAAGATTCGAGATTTGAATGTGTAGATTGTGATGTAGGACTTTGTGATGCTCCATGCTTTGCAAATTATCATACAAGAAGTGAATGTTAGTAATAATTTTTTGTGTTTATATAGTATATTCTTAAACTTGAATAATTACATTTTATTGTGTTTATTAGTGTTGAAAATAATAAATACTTTTTTTTAATTTTTGTTTGAAAAACGCAATGTTTTGAAAAAACACGGGACATTTAGAGACCACTTCAGAAAAAAAAGCCGGACTAATAGCGACCGTATTTTAAAAACAACTTGGGACTGTTAAAGGGTTGAAGCATGTAATGTTGGGATCACAAAAGTATGAGCTTCTTGGTTTTGTTCACAAAAGTATGAGCTTCTTGGTTTTGTTCACAAAAGTATGAGCTTCTTGGTTTTGTTTGACAATTAATGATCTGGATCAATGTATTAGGATTAGGATCTATAATAACGTGCGACCATATTTCGGAAAAAAAACTTTACTAGCAAATGTAAAAGTGCTATTTTTTAGCTTAACATTGATTGTTTTACTGACTGATCAAAATGACTACTTTCGTCAAAAAAAGTTCTTAAACCAATGCCGCTACTTTTTGTTTAACGCAATTGAAACCCTTATTGAACGTCCATGTAAATTGGACGCCAAAAAAAAGAAATCCAAGTTAAATGGTAAAGTGGTAGAAAAGCAGTTTCTATAATTTTCCAGTACCGCGGATTTTATAAGGCCTCCATCAACTTTAAAAACGTCTACAGGTTTAACAAAGCTACTCAGTTCCAAATTTAACAAAAGATTCAAAAATGAAAATCCATTTCGGGTACAAGGAAATTTCTTTTTGACAAACTTGTTTTGATTTATTAGAATTACTTTCTTTATAAGCTTTATGAAGAAGGAACACAAGCATACATAGGAGCAATTCTAAGCAGCCGTGGCGCAATGGTAGCGCACTTGCCTCAAAAACAAATGATCCGTGGTTCAAACCCCACCTCTGGGCAAGTTTTGCGATATCAATTTGGAAGGAGGCGTGAACTTCCGATTAAGTGCTCATCTGCGGTGCTCTGTGATAAGAGCGTAAGGACGTCTTGGATCACCTATATAAAATTAAATAAAAAAATTCTAAAGGGGTGTGTGTGTGGAGGGGGGAGGGGTCTCACAGCCTCCATCCACCTCTTCCCAAATAATTGATATTTAAAATTTAAGAAGTAAATGATGATATTTAAGCAGCGGTGGCGCTGTTTTTAGAGTTCTAGCTCAAAAGTTCTGAGCTAGAAGTTTTTAGAGTTCTCTAAAAACATCGAATCACTTGGTTGTGAGTCAGAACCAAGAGATTCGATGTCAGCTCCAGCCCAATAAACAACATTGGTAAGGAGGAAGGCTTGAACTTTCTGGTTAAATGCTCCTCCTCGGTTCGATGTAAGAAGACCATAAAGCCCTCATGAAATAGTTTAATGACTTAAAAAAAAAAGTCAACATTATAATAAATTATCATCATTAAAATGAATTGTCAATATTAAAAGAAATAAAAGTAAAGTAAGTCGTATCACTTTCTAAAAATAAGAAACAAAAATAGTTATATATAACAAATGTAAAAAAAAAAAAAAAATGCAGCAGATTAAGTATGAGAACTTTTTTTTAATTATACCAATAAAAAACAAAACATAAAAGAGAAAGTCAAAATGATGGCAACATATACTATTATCTAATATAGGTGTATTATATTTAATACACCTATATTACTATTCTAAAAACAATAATTTACTTATTAAGGATTAAATTGTTTAAGGTCAATGAAGAAAATAATGCATCTTAATTAATTTTGACAAACACAGCCTCACTTTGAAAAATCTTCGTTCTTCGTTGGTCATATTTATGAAAAGGTCTATCATGAAAGACCTTTTCATAATGGAAAATGGAGATTTTTCAAAGAGAGGCTGTGGTTTTCTAATCAATACTGCATTATCAATTACTATTACTAGAAACAATTATTAGAAACATAAAAAATTTGTTTTATATGTTTCTAAGTTGTTCTATTTGATAACACTGTATCACTGTGCTGTTGAACTAAGCGAGAGAAAAAAAGATTATTTAAATAAATACAGGGGTTGTTTAGCATATAGTGATGGAGTGTTTGAAGCAAAATTGCTAAACAAAGTACTTTATGAGTTATTAACAATTTACTGTTTCATTTCATTGGCTGACCCTCTAATATTTAATGTTTTTCCAAAAAGTTTAAAATTACAATTTTTATAACGAGTTTTGGTAATGATTTTGGTTTAAGCTCTTTATTTTACATAATGTGAAGCCCTGGTTTCTAATGATTTTTAAGTTATTTTTTAAAATTAGGTTCAAAATGACTCATTTTAAAACCTTTTTTTACATATTTTTGCAATTTTTTGAATAAATTGTTATAAAATAAATTTTGTATTCTCTATTTACTCATAATATACCCAATTAACTTTTTTAATTAAAAGTAAAATTTGAAAAAGTTTTTTTTTTTGAGTTGAACCACCTTAAGTCATCATTTTTTTAGTTAAAATACATCAACCTATTAAAAATATTGATAATATTGGAAAATTTCATTCCGGGTCGAGTTTATTTCATTAATATGTAAAAAGACTTATTTGTCAACATTTCCTACGTTTAAGTTTAAAAAAGGATTCCTTACTTTTTTTTTTTTTTTCTTTTTTCTTTTTTTTTTTTTTGCAAAAATGGGCCAACAAAAGAATTTGTTAGGCCATTTCAAAGTTAAGAAGACTTTAACAAAAAGAAAAGTTTTGTTTAATTTTTTTATAAGTTTGAGTTTAAATGATTCATAAAATACCATAATTTTACTTATCTTGTTTTGTCTTTTAGTTTAACTTTTCATTTGAAGCAACTCATTGTTTTCATTGAAGTGACTGAAATTAAAAAAATTTGATAAAATAAAAAAAAAGTTTATGCCGGGTTCATTAAACTTTATGCCGGGTTCATTAAACTCCATACTAGGCACAGTTTTGTAGCCTGGAAATAATTTTTTAATTAGCTTGCTTTTGAGTTTTTTTGTTTTATTTTTATTATAATTAGTAATATCAAT